CAACAACATCCAGGTCGCAGGACAAACGTCGTAGGACAAACGTCGCAGGACAAACGTCGCAGGACAAACGTCGCAGGACAAACGTCGCATGGCAAACGTCTCAGGACAAACGTCGCAGGACAAACATCGCAGGACAAACGTCGCAGGACAAACGTCGCAGGACAAACGCCGCAGGACAAACGCCGCAGGACAAACGCTGCAGGACAAACGCCGCAGGACAAACGCCGCAGGACAAACGCCGCAGGACGAACGCCGCAGGACAAACGCCGTAGGACAAACGCCGCAGGACAAGCGTCGCAGGACAAACGTCGCAGGACAAACGTCGCAGGACAAGCGTCGCAGGTCAAGCGTCGCAGGACAAACGTCGCAGGCCAAACGTCGCAGGTCAAACGTCGCAAAACAAACCCCGATGGACAAACGTCGCAGGACAAACGTCGCATGGCAAACGTCTCAGAACAAACGTCGCAGGACAAACGTCGCAGGACAAACGTCGCAGGACAAACGTCGCAGGACAAACGCCGCAGGACAAACGCCGTAGGACAAACGCCGCAGGACAAACGCCGCAGGACAAACGCCGCAGGACAAACGCCGCAGGACAAACGCCGCAGGACAAACGCCGCAGGACAAACGTCGCAGGACAAACGTCGCAGGACAAACGTCGCAGGACAAACACCGCAGGACAAACGTCGCAGGACAAACGTCGCAGGACAAGCGTCGCAGGTCAAGCGTCGCAGGACAAACGTCGCAGGCCAAACGTCGCAGGCCAAACGTCGCAGGTCAAACGTCGCAAAACAAACGCCGATGGACAAACGTCGACGGACAAACGTCGCCGGACAAACGTCGCTGGACAAACGTCTTAGTACAAACATCGCAAGACAAACGTCCCAGGACAAACTTCGCAGGACAAACGTCGCAGGACAAACGTCGCTGGACAAACGTCGCTGGACAAACGTCTCAGGACAAACGTCTCAGGACAAACGTCGCAGGACAAGCGTCGAAGGACAAACGTCGCAGAACAAACGTCGCAGTATAAACGTCTCAGTACAAACGTCGCAGGACAAACGTCGCAGGACAAACGTCTCAGTACAAATGTCGCAAGACAAACGTCGCAAGACAAACGTCGCATGACAAACGCCGCAGGACAAACGCCGCAGGACGAACGCGGCAGGACGAACGTGGCAGGACAAACGTCGCAGGACAAACGTCGCAGGACAAACGTCGAAGGACAAACGTCGCCGGACAAACGTCACAGGACAAACGTCGCAGGACAAACGTCGCAGGACAAACGTTGCAGGACAAACGTCGTAGGACAAACGTCTCAGTACAAACGTCGCAGGACAAACGTCGCAAGACAAACATCGCAGGACAAACGTCGCAGGACAAACGTCGCAGGACAAACGTCGCAGGACAAACGTTGTAGGACAAACGTCGTAGGACAAACGTCTCAGTACAAACGTCGTAGGACAAACGTCGCAGACAAACGTCGCAGGACAAACGTCTCAGTACAAACGTCGTAAGAGAAACGTCACAGGACAAACGTAGCAGGACAAATGTTGCAGGACAAGCGTCGCAGGACAAACGTCGCAGGACAAACGTCGTAGGACAAACGTCGCAGGACAAACGTCTCAGTCCAAACGTCGCAGGACAAACGTCGAAGGACAAACGTCGCAGGACAAACGTCGCAGTACAAACGTTGTAGGACAAACGCCGCAGGACAAACGTCGCAGGACAAACGTCGCAGGACAAACGTCGCAGGTCAAGCGTCGTAGGACAAACGTCGCTGGACAAACGTCGCAGGACAAACGCCGCAGGTCAAACGCCGCAAGACAAACGTCGCAGGACAAACGTCGCAGGACAAACGTCGCAGGACAAACGCCGCAGGACAAACGTCGCAGGACAACGTCGCAGGACAAACGTCGCAGGACAAACGGCGCAGGTCAAACGTCCAGGACAAACGTCGCCGGACAAACGTCGCAGGACAAACATCGCAGGACAAATGTCGCAGGACAAACGTCGCAGGACAAACGTCTCAGTACAAACGTCTCAGTACAAACGTCTCAGTACAAACGTCGCAAGACAAACGTCGCAAGACAAGCGTCGCAGGACAACGCCGCAGCACGAACACAGCGGGACAAACGTCGCAGGACAAACGTCGAAGGACAAACGGCGCAGGAAAAACATCGCAGGACAAACGCCGCAGGACAAACGTCGCAGGAAAAACGTCGCAGGACAAACGTCGCAGGACAAACTTCGCAGGTCAAACGTCGCAGGACAAACGTTGCAGGACAAACGTCGCAGACAAACGTCGCAGGTCGAACGTCGCAGGTCAAACGTCGCAGGACAAACGCCGCAGGACAAACGTCGCAGGACAAACGTCGCAGGTCAAGCGTCGCAGGACAAACGTCGCAGGACAAACGTCGCAGGTCAAACGTCGCAAAACAAACGCCGTAGGACAAACGTCGCTGGACAAACGTCGCTGGACTAACGTCGCTGGACAAACGTCTTAGTAGAAACGTCGCATGACAAACGTCGCAGGACAAACGTCGCAGGACAAACTTCGCAGGACAAACGTCGCAGGACAAACGTCGCAGGACAAACGTGGCAGGACAAACGTCGCAGGTCAAACGTTGCAGGCCAAACGTCGCAGGTCAAACGTCGCAAAACAAACGCCGTAGGACAAACGTCGCTGGACAAACGTCGCGGGACAAACGTTTTAGTACAAACGTCGCATGACAAACGCCGCAGGACAAACGTCGCAGGACAAACTTCGCAGGACAAACGTCGCAGGACAAACGTCGCTGGACAAACGTCGCTGGACAAACGTCTTAGGACAAACGTCTCAGGACAAACGTCGCAGTGCAAGCGTCGAAGGACAAACGTCGCATAACAAACGTCGCAGGACAAACGTCGTAGTACAAACGTTTCAGGACAAACGTGGCAGGACAAACGTCGCAGGACAAACGTCGCTGGACAAACGTCGCTGGACAAACGTCGCTGGACAAACGTCGAAGGACAAACGTCGAAGACAAACGTCGCAGGACAACCGTCGCAGGACAAACGTCGCAGGACAACCGTCGCAGGACAAACGTCGCAGGACAATCATCGCAGGACAAACGTCGCAGGACAAACGTCGCAGACAAACGTCGCAGACAAACGTCGCAGGACAAACGTCGCAGGACAAACGTCGCAGGACAAACGTCGCAGGACAAACGTCGCAGGACAAACGTCGCAGGATAAACGTCGCACGACAAACGTCGCAGGACAAACGTCGCAGAACAAACGCCGTAGGACAAACGTCTTAGGACAAATGTCTCAGTACAAAATGTCAGAAAACTAGCAGTGAGAAACAGAAATGAAGAAAGGAGAGTTTGCACTAGCAGCAGTTGGCATACATATAGGAAACCTTAATTGGGTTGTACTCGCTATAGAGTACCCCACTGCAGGCTAGACAATTATAACATTCTGACACACCCCCATAGCCAAAGTGGGGTGTAATCAGCACAATGAGCAAGCATAGCAGTAGTTCACAATTATGAGCAAAGCTAGTGGTAGTCACAGCGGGCAAGTGAGGAAGAGGAGGGACTGTGAGAGGAGAGAAGATGGGAGACGACGGCTGAAGCTGCAGACACACGGGCAACAGGAGCGGCTGGCACAGTGGCTACCGGGACAGCGCCCCGGACTACTGGAGTAACTGGCTCACGGGCTACGAGGAGCTACAGGAGCAACGGACCCACGGGCGACAGGCGCAGCAGGCTCTCTGGGCTACCAGGACAGCGCCCCGGACTACAGGTGCTGCAGACGACAAGACGGCAGCCTCCTCTCAGCCTCCCCAAACAGTCCCACCCCCCCTGAAACACACCCCCTGCTTCACCCCTAGCTCCACTCCCCCTTCACCCCTTAGTACCACTCCGACGGCTCCAACAGATCCACCCCCCTCAGCGGCAGCTGCAGCACTGGGAGACGGAGGAGGAGGAGGAGCAGGGGACGGCACACAGAAACTGCACCCCCATACCCCCCACCCCAAACCCTAATTCAGGAGAACGGGCAGCAGCAGGGGTGGGGCGCCGTCAGAAGCACGGGGGACAGCGGGCAGCTCAGGGGAAGAGGAAACAGGGCGCCCACGGGCCTAGCGTAGCCCGTACGAACCGCGCGCGGGCGGCCTGAGGCGCGCCCTGGCCTGGCGCAGCCCGTACGGGCCGCGCGCGGGCCTGGCGCAGCCCGTACGGGCCGCGCGCGGGCCTGGCGCAGCCCATACGGGCCGCGCGCGGGCCTGGCGCAGCCCGTACGGGCCGCGCGCAGGCTGAACGGGCCGCGCGCGGGCCCTATGCAGGTCGCGCAGGCCGCGACGGGCGACGGGGGGCGACGCGCGGGTCCCCGTCGCCCGTCGCAGCGCCTCCCGGGAGCGACGCGCGGAGTGACGGGGTAGAAAGCCGCCGCGCGCCTCGGGGCGCACGGCGGGCAGAAAACCGCCGCGCGCCTCGGGGCGCACGGCGGGCAGAAAACCGCCGCACGCTCCGAGCGCGCGGCGGGATGAAAAATCCGTCGCACGCCACGGGGCGTGCAACACACAGAGTAGCAGTAGCAGCGGAAGCAGTGAGGTGGTGGGCCCACCCACAGGATCGACCCAGGAGGGTCGACCTGCTCTGATAGCATGTCAGAAACTAGCAGTGAGAAACAGAAATGAAGAAAGGAGAGTTTGCACTAGCAGCAGTTGGCATGCATATAGGAAACCCTAATTGGGTTGTACTCGCTATAGAGTACCCCACTGCAGGCTAGACAATTATAACATTCTGACACAAAACACAGGGATGGAGGTGCGTTTTGAGTCGACTCGAAAGTCACGTGAGGCAGAGCGACAAGGGCACTGAGATGGAGAGGTGCGTGGGGCTCAATACAACACAAGGATGGAGGTGCGTTTTGAGTCGACTCGCAAGTCACGTGAGGCAGAGCGACAAGGGCACTGAGATGGAGAGGTGCGTGGGGCTCAATACAACACAGAGATGGAGGTGCGTGGGGCTCAATTCTCCCGATTTCCATCACCAAACCCCATTCTCCCGCTTTCCATCACCCCGCCCCAATCTCCCTCTTTCCATCACCCCACCCCATTCTCCTGCTTTCCATCACCCCGTCCCATTCTCCCGCTTTCCATCACCCCGCCCCATTCTCCCGCTTTCCATCACCCCGCCCCATTCTCCCTCTTTCCATCACCCCGCCCCAATCGACCGCTTTCCATCACCCCGCCCCATTCTCCCTCTTTCCATCCCCCAGCCCCAGTCTCCCGCTTTCTATCACCCCGCCCCATTCTCCCGCATTCCACCACCCCGCCCCATTCTCCCTCTTTCCATCACCCAGCCCCATTCCCCCGCTTTCCATCACCCAGCCCCATTCTCCCGCTTTCCATCACCCCACCCCATTCTCCCGCTTTCCTTCACCCCACCCCGTTCTCCCGCTTTCCATCACCCCGCCCCATTCTCCCTCTTTCCATCGCCCCACCCCATTCTCCCGCATTTCATCACCCCGCCCCGTTCTCCCGCTTTCCATCACCCCGCCCCGTTCTCCCGCTTTCCATCACCCCGCCCCGTTCTCCCTCTTTCCATCACCCCGCCCCATTCTCCCGCTTTCCATCACCCCGCCCCATTCTCCCTCTTTCCATCACCCCGCCCCATTCTCCCGCTTTCCATCACCCCGCCCCATTCTCCCGCTTTCCATCACCCCGCCCCATTCTCCCGCTTTCCATCACCCCACCCCATACTCCCGCTTTCCATCACCCCGCCCCATTCTCCCGCTTTCCATCACCCCGCCCCATTCTCCCGCTTTCCATCGCCCCGCCCCATTCTCCCTCTTTCCATCGCCCCGCCCCATTCTCCCTCTTTCCATCACCCCGCCCCATTCTCCCGCTTTCCATCGCCCCGCCCCATTCTCCCGCTTTCCATCGCCCCGCCCCATTCTCCCGCTTTCCATCACCCCACCCCATTCTCCCGCTTTCCATCACCCCGCCCCATTCTCCCGCTTTCCATCACCCCGCCCCATTCTCCCGCTTTCCATCACCCCGCCCCATTCTCCCTCTTTCCATCACCCCGCCCCATCCCGCTTTCCATCACCCCGACTTATTTTCCATCTTTCCATCACCCCGCCCCATTCTCCCTCTTTCCATCGCCCCGCCCATTCTCCCGCTTTCCATCACCCCGCCTCATTCTCCTGCTTTCCATCACCCCTCCCCATTCTTCCGCTTTCCATCACCCCGCCCCATTCTCCAGCTTTCCATCACCCCGCCCCATTCTCCCCCTTTCCATCACCCCGCCCCATTCTCCCGCTTTCCATCACCCCGCCCCATTCTCCTGCTTTCCATCACCCCGCCCCATTCTCACGCTTTCCATCACCCCGCCCCATTCTCCCTCTTTCCATCACCCCGCCCCATTCTCCCTCTTTCCATCACCGCGCCCCATTCTCCCGCTTTCCATCACCTCGCCCCATTCTCCATCTTTCCATCACACTGCCCCATTCTCCCTCTTTCCATCACCCAGCCCCATTCTCCCGCTTTCCATCACCCAGCCCCATTCTCCCTCTTTCCATCACCCCGCCCCATTCTCCCTCTTTCCATCACCCCGCCCTATTCTCCCTCATTCCATCACCCCGCCCCATTCTCCTGCTTTCCATCACCCCGCCCCAATCTCCCGCTTTCCATCGCCTCGCCCCATTCTCCCGCTTTCCATCGCCCCGCCCCATTCTCCCGGTTTCCATCACCCCGCCCCATTCTCCCTCTTTCCATCGCCCCACCCATTCTCCCGCTTTCCATCACCCCGCCTCATTCTCCCGCTTTCCATCGCCCCTCCCCATTCTTCCGCTTTCCATCACCCCGCCCCATTCTCCCGCTTTCCATCACCCCGCCCCATTCTCCCTCCTTCCATCACCCCGCCCCATTCTCCCGATTTCCATCACCAAACCCCATTCTCCCGCTTTCCATCACCCCGCCCCAATCTCCCTCTTTCCATCACCCCACCCCATTCTCCTGCTTTCCATCACCCCGTCCCATTCTCCCGCTTTCCATCACCCCGCCCCAGTCTCCCGCTTTCCATCACCCCGCCCCATTCTCCCTCTTTCCATCACCCCGCCCCAATCGACCGCTTTCCATCACCCCGCCCCATTCTCCCTCTTTCCATCCCCCAGCCCCACTCTCCCGCTTTCTATCACCCCGCCCCATTCTCCCGCATTCCACCACCCCGCCCCATTCTCCCTCTTTCCATCACCCAGCCCCATTCTCCCTCTTTCCATCACCCCGCCCCATTCTCCCGCTTTCCATCACCCCGCCCCATTCTCCCGCTTTCCATCGCCCCGCCCCATTCTCCCGCTTTCCATCGCCCCACCCCATTCTCCCGCTTTCCATCCCCCCGCCCCATTCTCCCGCTTTCCATCACCCCGCCCCATTCTCCCGCTTTCCATCACCCCGCCCCATTCTCCCTCTTTCCATCACCCCGCCCCATCCCGCTTTCCATCACCCCGACTTATTTTCCATCTTTCCATCACCCCGCCCCATTCTCCCTCTTTCCATCGCCCCGCCCATTCTCCCGCTTTCCATCACCCCGCCTCATTCTCCTGCTTTCCATCACCCCTCCCCATTCTTCCGCTTTCCATCACCCCGCCCCATTCTCCAGCTTTCCATCACCCCGCCCCATTCTCCCGCTTTCCATCACCCCGCCTCATTCTCCCTCTTTCCATCGCCCCGCCCCATTCTCCCGCTTTCCATCGCCCCGCCCCATTCTCCCGCTTTCCATCGCCCCGCCCCATTCTCCCGCTTTCCATCGCCCCGCCCCATTCTCCCGCTTTCCATCGCCCCGCCCCATTCTCCCGCTTTCCATCGCCCCGCCCCATTCTCCCGCTTTCCATCACCCCGCCCCATTCTCACGCTTTCCATCACCCCGCCCCATTCTCCCTCTTTCCATCACCCCGCCCCATTCTCCCTCTTTCCATCACCGCGCCCCATTCTCCCGCTTTCCATCACCTCGCCCCATTCTCCATCTTTCCATCACACTGCCCCATTCTCCCTCTTTCCATCACCCAGCCCCATTCTCCCGCTTTCCATCACCCAGCCCCATTCTCCCTCTTTCCATCACCCCGCCCCATTCTCCCTCTTTCCATCACCCCGCCCCATTCTCCCTCATTCCATCACCCCGCCCCATTCTCCTGCTTTCCATCACCCCGCCCCAATCTCCCGCTTTCCATCGCCTCGCCCCATTCTCCCGCTTTCCATCGCCCCGCCCCATTCTCCCGCTTTCCATCACCCCGCCCCATTCTTCCTCTTTCCATCGCCCCACCCATTCTCCCGCTTTCCATCACCCCGCCTCATTCTCCCGCTTTCCATCGCCCCTCCCCATTCTTCCGCTTTCCATCACCCCGCCCCATTCTCCCGCTTTCCATCCCCCCGCCCCATTCTCCCTCCTTCCATCACCCCGCCCCATTCTCCCGATTTCCATCACCAAACCCCATTCTCCCGCTTTCCATCACCCCGCCCCAATCTCCCTCTTTCCATCACCCCACCCCATTCTCCTGCTTTCCATCACCCCGTCCCATTCTCCCGCTTTCCATCACCCCGCCCCATTCTCCCGCTTTCCATCACCCCGCCCCATTCTCCCTCTTTCCATCACCCCGCCCCAATCGACCGCTTTCCATCACCCCGCCCCATTCTCCCTCTTTCCATCCCCCAGCCCCAGTCTCCCGCTTTCTATCACCCCGCCCCATTCTCCCACATTCCACCACCCCGCCCCATTCTCCCTCTTTCCATCACCCATCCCCATTCCCCCGCTTTCCATCACCCAGCCCCATTCTCCCGCTTTCCATCACCCCACCCCATTCTCCCGCTTTCCTTCACCCCACCCCTTTCTCCCGCTTTCCTTCACCCCACCCCGTTCTCCCGCTTTCCATCACCCCGCCCCATTCTCCCTCTTTCCATCGCCCCACCCCATTCTCCCGCATTCCATCACCCCGCCCCGTTCTCCCGCTTTCCATCACCCCGCCCCGTTCTCCCGCTTTCCATCACCCCGCCCCGTTCTCCCTCTTTCCATCACCCCGCCCCATTCTCCCGCTTTCCATCACCGCGCCCCATTCTCCCTCTTTCCATCACCCCGCCCCATTCTCCCGCTTTCCATCACCCCGCCCCATTCTCCCGCTTTCCATCACCCCGCCCCATTCTCCCGCTTTCCATCACCCCACCCCATACTCCCGCTTTCCATCACCCCGCCCCATTCTCCCGCTTTCCATCACCCCGCCTCATTCTCCCGCTTTCCATCGCCCCGCCCCATTCTCCCTCTTTCCATCGCCCCGCCCCATTCTCCCTCTTTCCATCACCCCGCCCCATTCTCCCGCTTTCCATCGCCCCGCCCCATTCTCCCGCTTTCCATCGCCCCGCCCCATTCTCCCGCTTTCCATCACCCCACCCCATTCTCCCGCTTTCCATCACCCCGCCCCATTCTCCCGCTTTCCATCACCCCGCCCCATTCTCCCGCTTTCCATCACCCCGCCCCATTCTCCCTCTTTCCATCACCCCGCCCCATCCCGCTTTCCATCACCCCGACTTATTTTCCATCTTTCCATCACCCCGCCCCATTCTCCCTCTTTCCATCGCCCCGCCCATTCTCCCGCTTTTCATCACCCCGCCTCATTCTCCTGCTTTCCATCACCCCTCCCCATTCTTCCGCTTTCCATCACCCCGCCCCATTCTCCAGCTTTCCATCACCCCGCCCCATTCTCCCGCTTTCCATCACCCCGCCCCATTCTCCCGCTTTCCATCACCCCGCCCCATTCTCCTGCTTTCCATCACCCCGCCCCATTCTCACGCTTTCCATCACCCCGCCCCATTCTCCCTCTTTCCATCACCCCGCCCCATTCTCCCTCTTTCCATCACCGCGCCCCATTCTCCCGCTTTCCATCACCTCGCCCCATTCTCCATCTTTCCATCACACTGCCCCATTCTCCCTCTTTCCATCACCCAGCCCCATTCTCCCGCTTTCCATCACCCAGCCCCATTCTCCCTCTTTCCATCACCCCGCCCCATTCTCCCTCTTTCCATCAAACCGCCCCATTCTCCCTCTTTCCATCACCCCACCCCATTCTCCTGCTTTCCATCACCCCGTCCCATTCTCCCGCTTTCCATCACCCCGCCCCATTCTCCCGCTTTCCATCACCCCGCCCCATTCTCCCTCTTTCCATCACCCTGCCCCAATCGACCGCTTTCCATCACCCCGCCCCATTCTCCCTCATTCCATCCCCCAGCCCCACTCTCCCGCTTTCTATCACCCCGCCCCATTCTCCCGCATTCCACCACCCCGCCCCATTCTCCCGCTTTCCATCACCCAGCCCCATTCTCCCTCTTTCCATCACCCCGCCCCATTCTCCCTCTTTCCATCACCCCGCCCAAATCTCCCTCTTTCCATCACCCCGCCCCATTCTCCCGCTTTCCATCACCCCGCCCCATTCTCCCGCTTTCCACCACCCCGCCCCATTCTCCCGCTTTCCATCACCCCGCCCCATTCTCCCGTTTTCCATCACCTAGCCCCATTCTCTCTCTTTCCATCACACCGCCCCATTCTCCCTCTTTCCATCACCCAACCCCATTCTCCCGCTTTCCATCACCCAGCCCCATTCTACCTCTTTCAATCACCCCGCCCCATTCTCCCTCTTTCCATCACCCAGCCCCATTCCCCCGCTTTTCATCACCCAGCCCCATTCTCCCGCTTTCCATCACCCCACCCCATTCTCCCGCTTTCCTTCACCCCACCCCGTTCTCCCGCTTTCCATCACCCCGCCCCATTCTCCCTTTTTCCATCGCCCCACCCCATTCGCCCGCTTTCCATCGCCCCGCCCCGTTCTCCCGCTTTACATCATTCCGCACCGTTCTCCCTCTTTCCATCACCCCGCCCCATTCTCCCGCATTCCATCACCCCGCCCCGTTCTCCCGCTTTCCATCACCCCGCCCCGTTCTCCCGCTTTCCATCACCCCGCCCCGTTCTCCCTCTTTCCATCACCCCGCCCCGTTCTCCCGCTTTCCATCGCCCCGCCCCATTCTCCCGCTTTCCATCGCCCCGCCCCATTCTCCCTCTTTCCATCGCCCCGCCCCATTCTCCCGCTTTCCATCGCCCCGCCCCATTCTCCCTCTTTCCATCGCCCCGCCCCATTCTCCCTCTTTCCATCGCCCCGCCCCATTCTCCCGCTTTCCATCGCCCCGCCCCATTCTCCCGCTTTCCATCACCCCGCCGCATTCTCCCGCTTTCCATCACCCCGCCCCATTCTCCCGCTTTCCATCACCCCGCCCCATTCTCCCTCTTTCCATCACCCCGCCCCATTCTCCCACTTTCCATCACCCCGACTTATTCTCCATCTTTCCATCACCCCGCCCCATTCTCCCTCTTTCCATCGCCCCGCCCATTCTCCCGCTTTCCATCACCCCGCCTCATTCTCCTGCTTTCCATCACCCCTCCCCATTCTTCCACTTTCCATCACCCTGCCCCATTCTCCCTCTTTCCATCACCCCGCCCCATTCTCCCACTTTCCATCACCCCGCCTCATTCACCCTCTTTCCATCGCCCCACCCCATTCTCCCGCTTTCCATCGCCCCGCCCCATTCTCCCGCTTTCCATCGCCCCGCCCCATTCTCCCGCTTTCCATCACCCCGCCCCATTCTCCCGCTTTCCATCACCCAGCCCCATTCTACCTCTTTCAAACACCTCGCCCCATTCTCCCTCTTTCCATCACCCAGCCCCATGCCCCCGCTTTCCATCACCCAGCCCCATTCTCCCGCTTTTCATCACCCCACCCCATTCTCCCGCTTTCCATCACCCCACCCTGTTCTCCCGCTTTCCATCACCCCGCCCCATTCTCCCTCTTTCCATCGCCCCGCCCCGTTCTCCTGCTTTACATCATTCCGCACCATTCTCCCTCTTTCCATCACCCCGCCCCATTCTCCCTCTTTCCATCGCCCCGCCCATTCTCCCGCTTTCCATCACCCCGCCTCATTCTCCCGCTTTCCATCACCCCTCCCCATTCTTCCGCTTTCCATCACCCCGCCCCATTCTCCCGCTTTCCATCACCTCGCCCCATTCTCCCTCCTTCCATCACCCCGCCCCATTCTCCCGATTTCCATCACCCCGCCCCATTCTCCCGCTTTCCATCACCCCGCCCCAATCTCCGTCTTTCCATCACCCCACCCCATTCTCCCGCTTTCCATCACCCCGTCCCATTCTCCCGCTTTCCATCACCCCGCCCCATTCTCCCGCTTTCCATCACCCCGCCCCATTCTCCCTCTTTCCATCACCCCGCCCCAATCGACCGCTTTCCATCACCCCGCCCCATTCTCCCTCTTTCCATCCCCCAGCCCCAGTCTCCCGCTTTCTATCACCCCGCCCCATTCTCCCGCTTTCCACCACCCCGCCCCATTCTCCCGCTTTCCATCACCCAGCCCCATTCTCCCTCTTTCCATCACCCTGCCCCATTCTCCCTCTTTCCATCACCCCGCCCAAATCTCCCTCTTTCCATCACCCCGCCCCATTCTCCCGCTTTCCATCACCCTGCCCCATTCTCCCGCTTTCCATCACCCCGCCCCATTCTCCCGCTTTCCATCACCCCGCCCCATTCTCCCGCTTTCCATCACCCCGCCACATTCTCCTTCTTTCCATCAACCCGCCCCGATCGACCGCTTTCCATCACCCCGCCCCATTCTCCCTCTTTCCATCACCCCGCCCCGTTCTCCCTCTTTCCATCACCCCGCCCCATTCTCCCTCTTTCCATCACCCAGCCCCATTCTCTCTCTTTCCATCACACCGCGCCATTCTCCCTCTTTCCATCACCCAGCCCCATTCTCCCGCTTTCCATCACCCAGCCCCATTCTACCTCTTTCAATCACCCCGCCCCATTCTCTCTCTTTCCATCACACCGCCCCATTCTCCCTCTTTCCATCCCCCAGCCCCATTCTCCCTCTTTCCATCACCCAGCCCCATTCTCTCTCTTTCCATCACACCGCCCCATTCTCCCTCTTTCTATCACCCAGCCCCATTCTCCCGCTTTCCATCACCCAACCCCATGCCCCCGCTTTCCATCACCCAGCCCCATTCTCCCGCTTTCCATCACCCCACCCCATTCTCCCGCTTTCCATCACCCCACCCTGTTCTCCCGCTTTCCATCACCCTGCCCCATTCTCCCTCTTTCCATCGCCCCACCCCATTCTCTCGCTTTCCATCGCCCCGCCCCGTTCTCCCGCTTTACATCATTCGGCATCATTCTCCCTCTTTCCATCACCCCGCCCCATTCTCCCTCTTTCCATCGCCCCGCCCATTCTCCCGCTTTCCATCACCCCGCCTCATTCTCCCGCTTTCCATCACCCCTCCCCATTCTTCCGCTTTCCATCACCCGGCCCCATTCTCCCGCTTTCCATCACCTCGCCCCATTCTCCCTCCTTCCATCACCCCGCCCCATTCTCCCGATTTCCATCACCCCGTCCCATTCTCCCGCTTTCCATGACCCCGCCCCATTCTCCCTCTTTCCATCACCCCGCCCCAATCGACCGCTTTCCATCACCCCGCCCCATTCTCCCTCTTTCCATCCCCCAGCCCCAGTCTCCCGCTTTCTATCACCCCGCCCTATTCTCCCGCTTTCCACCACCCCGCCCCATTCTCCGCTTTCCATCACCCAGCCCCATTCTCCCTCTTTCCATCACCCCGCCCCATTCTCCCTCTTTCCATCAGCCCGCCCAGATCTCCCTCTTTCCATCACCCCGCCCCATTCTCCCGCTTTCCATCACCCCGCCCCATTCTCCCGCTTTCCATCACCCCGCCCCATTCTCCCGCTTTCCATCACCCCGCCCCACTCTCCCGCTTTCCATCACCCCGCCCCATTCTCCCGCTTTCCATCACCCCCGCCACATTCTCCTTCTTTCCATCACCCCGCCCCGATCGACCGCTTTCCATCACCCCGCCCCATTCTCGCTCTTTCCATCACCCCGCCCCGTTCTCCCTCTTTCCATCACCCCGCCCCATTCTCCCTCTTTCCATCACCCAGCCCCATTCTCTCTCTTTCCATCACACCGCCCCATTCTCCCTCTTTCCATCATCCAGCCCCATTCTCCCGCTTTCCATCACCCAGCCCCATTCTACCTCTTTCAATCACCCCGCCCCATTCTCTCTCTTTCCATCACACCGCCCCATTCTCCCTCTTTCCATCACCCAGCCCCATTCTCCCTCTTTCCATCACCCAGCTCCATTCTCTCTCTTTCCATCACACCGCCCCATTCTCCCTCTTTCCATCACCCAGCCCCATTCTCCCGCTTTCCATCACCCAACCCCATGCCCCCGCTTTCCATCACCCAGCCCCATTCTCCCGCTTTCCATCACCCCACCCCATTCTCCCGCTTTCCATCACCCCACCCTGTTCTCCCGCTTTCCATCACCCCGCCCCATTCTCCCTCTTTCCATCGCCCCACCCCATTCTCTCGCTTTCCATCGCCCCGCCCCGTTCTCCCGCTTTACATCATTCCGCACCATTCTCCCTCTTTCCATCACCCCGCCCCATTCTCCCTCTTTCCATCGCCCCGCCCATTCTCCCGCTTTCCATCACCCCGCCTCATTCTCCCGCTTTCCATCACCCCTCCCCATTCTTCCGCTTTCCATCACCCCGCCCCATTCTCCCGCTTTCCATCACCTCGCCCCATTCTCCCTCCTTCCATCACCCCGCCCCATTCTCCCGATTTCCATCACCCCGCCCCATTCTCCCGCTTTCCATCACCCCGCCCCAATCTCCCTCTTTCCATCACCCCACCCCATTCTCCCGCTTTCCATCACCCCGTCAAATTCTCCCGCTTTCCATCACCCCGCCCCATTCTCCCGCTTTCCATCACCCCCCCCCATTCTCCCTCTTTCCATCACCCCGCCCCAATCGACCGCTTTCCATCACCCCGCCCCATTCTCCCTCTTTCCATCCCCCAGCCCTAGTCTCCCGCTTTCTATCACCCCGCCCCATTCTCCCGCTTTCCACCACCCCGCCCCATTCTCCAGCTTTCCATCACCCAGCCCCATTCTCCCTCTTTCCATCACCCCGCCCCATTCTCCCTCTTTCCATCACCCCGCCCAAATCTCCCTCTTTCCATCACCCCGCCCCATTCTCCCGCTTTCCATCACCCCGCCCCATTCTCCCGCTTTCCATCACCGCGCCCCATTCTCCCGCTTCCATTACCCCGCCCCATTCTCCCGCTTTCGATCACCCCGCCCCATTCTCCCGCTTTCCATCACCCCGCCCCATTCTCCCGCTTTCCATCACCCCGCCCCATTCTCCCGCTTTCCATCACCCCGCCCCATTCTCCCGCTTTCCATCACCCCGCCCCATTCTCCCGCTTTCCATCACCCCGCCCCATTCTCCCGCTTTCCATCACCCCGCCCCATTCTCCCGCTTTCCATCACCCCGCCCCATTCTCCCGCTTTCCATCACCCCGCCCCATTCTCCCGCTTTCCATCACCCCGCCCCATTCTCCCGCTTCCATTACCCCGCCCCATTCTCCCGCTTCCATGACCCCGCCCCATTCTCCCGCTTCCGATCACCCCGCCCCATTCTCCCGCTTTCCATCACCCTGCCCCATTCTCCCGCTTTCCATCACCCCGCCCCATTCTCCCGCTTTCCATCACCCCGCCCCATTCTCCCGCTTTCCATCACCCCGCCCGATTCTCCCGCTTTCCATCACCCCGCCCCATTCTCCCGCTTTCCATCACCCCGCCCCATTCTCCCGCTTTCCATCACCCCGCTCCATTCTCCCGCTTTCCATCACCCCGCCCCATTCTCCCTCTTTCCATCACCCCGCCCCATTCTCCCTCCTTCCATCACCCCGCCCCATTCTCCCTCCTTCCATCACCCCGCCCCATTCTCCCGCTTTCCATCACCCCGCCCCATTCTCCCGATTTCCATCACCCCGCCCCATTCCCTCTCTTTCCATCACCCCGCCCTTTTCTCCCTCTTTCCATCACCCCGCCCCATTCTCCCACTTTCCATCACCCCGCCCCATTCTCCCTCTTGCCATCACCCCGCCCTATTCCCCCTCTTGCCATCACCCCGCCCCATTCTCCCCCTCTCCATCACCCCGCCCCATTCTCCCGCTTTCCATCACCCCGCCCCATTCTCCTGCTCTCCATCACCCCGGCCCATTCTCCAGCTTTCCAGCACCCCGCCCCTTTCCCCCGCTTTCCATCACCCCGCCCCATTCTCCCGCTCTCTATCACCCCGCCCCATTCTCCCGTTTTCCATCACCCGCCCCATTCTCCCTCTTTCCATCACCCCGCCCCATTCCCCCTCTTTCCATCACCCGCCCCATTCTCCCTCTTTCCATCACCCCGCCCCATTCTCCCTCTTTCCATCACCCCGCCCCATTCTCCCGCTTTCCATCACCCTGCCCCATTCTCCCGCTCTCCATCACCCCGCCCCATTCTCCCGTTTTCCATCACCCCGCCCCATTCTCCCGCTTTCCAGCACCCCGCCCCATTCTCCCGCTTTCCCTCACCCCGCCCCATTCTCCCGCTCTCCATCACCCCGCCCCATTCTCCCGCTTTCCATCACCCGCCCCATTCTACCTCTTTCCATCACCCCGCCCCATTCTCCCTCTTTCCATCACCCCGCCCCATTCTCCCGCTTTCCATCACCCGCCCCATTCTTTTGCTTTCCATCACCCCACCCCATTCTCCCGCTTTCCAGCACCCCGCCCCATTCTCCCGCTTTCCATCATCCCGCCCCATTCTCCCGCTTTCCATCACCCCGCCCCATTCTCTCTCTTGCCATCACCCCGCCCCATTCTCCCTCTTGCCATCACCCCGCACCATTCTCCCTCTCTCCATCACCACGCCCCATTCTCCCGCTCTCCATCACTCCACCTCATTCTCCCGCTCTCCATCACCCCGCCCCATTCTCCCGCTATCCATCAGGGTTTAGGGTTTAGGGCGTGGGAGGGTTGCGAGCATCATCGATCATCGGCGCTCGCGAATGAAGAGCGCCCGCTGCAGTTCCTGCACATGTGCGGATCCTTCCGCGTTTTGGGGGTGGAAGCGCTCGTTTCGAGCGTTTCTCTTCCGCCGGGTCACGTGGCTGCACTTGTCTGGGCCCATTACCAAGCTTGCAAGGGCGTGGGAGGGTTGCGATCATCATCGGTCATCGGTGCTGCCTAAAGAAGAGCGCCCGCTGCACTTCCTGCACATGTGCGGATCCTTCCGCGTTTTTGGGGTGGAAGCGCTCGTTCTGAGTGTTTTTCTTCCGCCGGGTCACGTGGCTGCGCTTGTCTTGGCCTATTACCAGGACAGCAAGGGCGTGGTTGCGAGCATCATCGGTCATCGGCGCTCGCGAATGAAGAGCGCCCGCTGCACTTCCTGCACATGTGCGGATCCTTTCGCATTTTGGGGGTGGAAGCGCTCGTTCCGAGCATTTTTCTTCCGCCGGGTCACGTGGCTGCGCTTGTCTGGTCCTATTACCAAGCCAGCAAGGTCGTGGGAGGGTTGCGAGCATCATCGGTCATTGGCGCTCGCGAATGAAGAGCGACCGCTGCACTTCATGCACATGTGCGGATCCTTTCGCGTTTTGGGGCTGGAAGCGCTCGTTCCGAGCGTTTTTCTTCCGCCGGGTCACGTGGCTGCGCTTGCCTGGTCCTTTTACCAAGCCAGCAAGGTCGTGGGAGGGTTGCGAGCATCATCGGTCATCGGCGCTCGCGAATGAAGAGCGCCCACTGCACTTTATGCACATGTGTGTATCCTTCCGCATTTTGGGGCTGGGCGCTCGTTCCGAGCGTTTTTCTTCCGCCGGGTCACGTGGCTGCACTTGTCTGGGCCTATTGCCAAGCCAGCAAGGGCGTGGGAGGGTTGCGAGCGTCATCGGTCATCGGCGCTCGCGAATGAAGAGCTCGCGCTGCACTTCCTGCACATGTGCAGATCCTTCGGCGTTTTAGGGGTGGAAGCGTTCGTTCCGAGTGTTTTTCTTCCACCGGGTCACATGGTTGCGTTTGGCTGGGCCTATTATCAAGCCAGCAAGGGCGTGGGAGGGTTGCGAGCATCATCGGTCATCGACGCTCGCGAGTGAAGAACGCCTGCTGTACTTCCTGCACATGTGCAGATCCTTCCGCATTTGGGGGCTGGAAGCGCTCGTTCCGAGCGTTTTTCTTCCGCTAGGTCACGTGGCTGCGCTTGTCTGGGCCTTTTACCAAGCCAGCAAGGGCGTGGGAGGGTTGAGAGCATCATGGGTCATCGGCGTTCGCAAATGAAGAGCGACTGCTGCACTTCGTGCACATGTGCGGGTCCTTCCGCATTTTGTGGCTGGAAACGTTCGTTCTTAGCGTTTTTCTTCCGCCGGGTCACGTGGTTGCGCTTGTCTGGGCCTATTACTAAGCCAGCAAGGGGGCGCGAGAGTTGCGAGCATCATCGGTCATCGGCGCTCGCGAATAAAGATCGACTGCTGCACTTCCTGCACATGTGCTGATCCTTCCGGGTTTTGGGGGTGGAAGCGCTCGTTCCGAGCGTTTTTCTGCACAAGTGCGTCTTCCCCACCCCTTTGATTGGTCCCCTTTGTCTTTGCACTCTCACGTACGCGCTCTTCCGCTGTTGTTATTCTGCTCTCTTCCGATGAGCGAAATCTTGCGATCATTTGTTACTGTTACCATCCTTTTTCGCTGTTTAACAATCCGTTCATGCCTTCACTATTGTATGCAATTGCTTTAATTGTGCAATCTTTGCTCAATCTCACTCATAAAAACTATAAGAAGAATCTTGAGTACAGCAGAAGCATTGAAACTGCTACTGATTTATAAAGGAGGTTCCAGCAGCGAGCAGCCACGTGGAGTTTTGCTTTTTGTCAAATAGGCAGTTGATGATATCCTTCCTTCATCGTCACCCTCCCTCTCGCCCTCCAATACCTTCAACTCGAGGATTTTCGTCCACAGCAGGATAGTAGTTCGTCGCGTCGCCCGTCACTTTCCACCCAACACGCGTCACGGGAGTAAGGATGACGAGCCTCCGTGCCGCCCCTCATCCCACCATGGCCGCGGCGCTTCCCTCGCAGCAGCTCGCATCGTCGCTCACATCACATGCACACCTCGCATCCGTCGCAGCAACCTCACGTGCGACTCTAAGAGCAGTCGCCCAACCGCCTCTGCGATCGTCGCTGTTCGCCACCAGCACGTCCACCGCGTTCGCGGAGTCGTCGGGCCTCCTGGGCTGCACAGTGGGGAGCATCGCGCGGCGCGCGGCACGGCGTGCAGGGCCGTCGGGGCGGGTGGTGGTGCGCGCGGCGGTGTTCGACCAGCTGAGCTCGAGCCTGGAGCAGGCGTGGACCAAGCTGCGCGCGCAAGGTGCGCCATCGGAACGCGTGTCCGGAGCACGCTGACCTGCTTCTCCTATTCCCAGTGACACGTTCATGCACGTGTTTTAATCAATTCGCCGTGCGTTCCCTCCTTTCCTGCGCGCTAGCCGCTGGTCCAGCCGCCCCCCCTTCCCCCCTCCTCCTCCTCCCTTCTCCCGCCACGATCGCAGACAAGCTGACGCGCGACAACATCAAGGAGCCGATGCGAGACATTCGGCGCGCGCTGCTCGAGGCCGATGTGAGTTGCGCTGCTGGAGGCCGATGTGAGTTGCGCTGCTCGAGGCCGATGTGAGTTGCGCTGATAGATTGATATGCGCACGCCATGGCGCCACACATTGCGCGCACGCCAGGGCGCCACCGCAGAACCGACGCGCATCCCCATGCACTCTTCCCCCCCATAGTCTCCCTTTCGCAATTCCCCCGTGAACCGCACGCCGTTCCTGGTGCTGCAGGTGAGTCTGCCGGTGGTGCGGCGGTTTGTGCGCGAGGTGACGGAGAGGGCGGTGGGCGTGGACGTGATCCGCGGCGTGCGGCCGGACCAGCAGCTCGTCAAGGTGGTGAACGACCAGCTCGTCGCGCTCATGGGCGGCAACGTGGCGGAGATCGCGTACGCGCCCGAGGGCAAGGGCCCCACCGTGGTGCTCATGGCGGGGCTGCAGGGCGTCGGCAAGACCACCGCGTGCGGCAAGCTCGCTCTCTTCCTCAAGAAGAAGGTGCGCGAAGGGGGAAGGGGAGGATGGGGGAGGCCGCGCGCAGGGGCATGGAGAAGCGACGCAAAGGGAGTGAGACGGGGCTTGTATGTGCCGCTGCAGCGAAATGAAAGGTGCAGTTGGCCTGCCTCATGTGCTCGTATGCTCGTGTGCTGATGTGCTCATGTGCTCGTGTGCTCCCAGTGTGCACCCGTGCGTGCATGCGCTCATGCGCGCTTGTGCCTCGCTGCATGGACTTACTCCACCATGTCCCGCCCCACTACCCCTCTCCCCCCCTTCCCCGCCGCGCCCCCTGGCGGTGGGGAGCGCGCAGGGCAAGGCGAGCATGCTGGTGGCCACGGACGTGTACCGCCCCGCCGCCATCGAGCAGCTGCAGACGCTGGGCGCGCAGGTGAGCAGCTGCAGACGCTGGGCGCGCAGGTGAGCAGCTGCAGACGCTGGGCGCGCAGGTGAGCAGCTGCAGACGCTGGGCGCGCAGGTGAGCAGCTGCAGACGCTGGGTGGGTGGGTGGGGTGGTGAAGGGCAATCGCTGGCCCCTTGACCAAATTGCCCTTCTCCCCGCTGCACCTCGCGCTGCCCTTCTCCCCGCTGCACCTCGTGCTGCCCTTCTCCCCGCTGCACCTCGTGCTGCCCTTCTCCCCGCTGCACCTCGTGCTGCCCTTCTCCCCGCTGCACCTCGTGCTGCCCTTCTCCCCGCTGCACCTCGTGCTGCCCTTCTCCCTCGCAACTCAACGCTCCCACATGCCACCTGCGTGCATGCGTGTGGGGGGGGCGCGGTGGCAGGTGGGCGTGCCGGTGTACGCGGAGGGCACGGACGCGCGGCCAGTGGACATCGCACGGCAGGGCATGGCGGCCGCCAAGAAGGCGGGCGTGGATGTCGTCATTGTCGACACAGCTGGTCGCCTGCAGGTGAGCGTTCCTCCCTGCATCGTGCCTCCCTGCATCGTGCCTCACTGCATCGTGCCTCCCTGCATCGTGCCTCCCTGCATCGTGCCTCACTGCATACCGCACTGTGTGGCTGCCGCCGCCGCTGCTGCTGCTGCTGATTCTGCTGCTGTGTGGATGGTGTGGTGTGCGTGGTCCTGGTGTTTTGTGCTGTGCTGTGCGGTGGTGGAGATAGACCGCAGCATGATGGAGGAGCTGAGGGGCATCAAGGCAGCGGTGAACCCCACGGAGGTGCTGCTCGTTGTCGATGCCATGACGGGCCAGGAGGCTGCCAGTGAGTAGGGAGGCTGCCAGTGAGTCACCAGGCTGCTAGTGAGTCACAAGGCTGCTAGTGAGTCAGGATGCTGCGTCAAGCGTCGAGCGTGAAATTGGATGGTGTTGACGAGTGACGCAACCCTGAACCAGCGTCAAATGCATCACAGCTGTCCCTGCTGCCTTCCATGCCTCACCCCTGCCTGCCCCTCTCCCCTGTCGCTGCGCCGTGCTGCATGCCCCCCCGTGGCGCTGCAGGTCTGGTGGCGGCGTTCAACGCGGAGGTGAGCATCACAGGCGCCATCCTCACCAAGGTGGACGGCGACTCACGTGGCGGCGCTGCTCTCAGCGTCAAGGAGGTCAGTCTCACTCTCACTCACCCACCCACCCGGGCTGCACCCCACTGACTTGAGCGAGAGGCTGTGCGCGGTGGAGGTAGCGGGTCGAGCACGGATGCGGGTCACCTCATTGTGACTACCTGCCACCTGATTTACTCTCCTGCACCACCTCTCTCCTTCCCATGTGCTTCTTGATGTCTTGGGCCTCCCACTCACTCCCGCGCCAATCACACCCTCCCCACCCCCCACCTGCCTGCTCTCCGTGTGTGTGCGTGCGTGGCGTGCGCGTGGGCAGGTGTCGGGGCGGCCGATCAAGTTTGTGGGGGAGGGCGAGACGATGAGCGCACTGGAGCCGTTCTACCCGGACCGCATGGCCAGCCGCATCCTCGGCATGGGCGACGTGCTCTCGCTCGTTGAGAAGGCGCAGGAGCTGGTCAGTGCGCCCTGCTCACACATGCTTCTGCGGGGCAGTGGGCAGTGAGGCAGTAGGCGGTGGGCAGTGGGCAGTGGGCAGTGGGGCAGGCGACAGGAAGGGGTGTGGGTTGTGAGTGGATGGTGGTTGTGTTGTGTGCTGTGGTTAATATGTTGGAAGCCCACACTAAATGTGTTGGTGCATTTCTCGCACATGGCACATGGCTGATGGCACATGGCACATGGAATCTGGCTGGCACGTAATGCATGGCTAATGGCACATGCCGCATGTCACATGGCACATGGGGCATGGCGTAGGGCACATGACATTTGGTACATGCTGCATGGCGCATGGCACATGGTGCATGGCAAGCGACATGTGTCGCATGGCACATGGCGCATGGCATGTCATGTGGCGCATGGCGTGACACGTGGCGTGTGGCATGTGGCGCATGGCGTGACACGTGGCGTGTGGCATGTGGCGCATGGCGTGACACGTGGCGTGTGGCATGTGGCACATGGCGCATGGCATGGTGCATGGCATGGCGTGTGGCATGGCGTGTGGCATGGCGTGTGGCATGGCGTGTGGCGTGGCGTGTGGCATGTGGCACATGGCGCATGGCATGGCGCATGGCATGGCGTGTGGCATGGCGTGTGGCATGGCGTGTGGCATGGCGTGTGGCATGGCGTGTGGCATGGCGTGTGGCATGGCGTGTGGCATGGCGTGTGGCATGGCGTGTGGCATGGCGTGTGGCATGGCGTGTGGCATGGCGTGTGGCATGGCGTGTGGCGTGGCGTGTGGCATGTGGCACATGGCGCATGGCATGGCGCATGGCATGGCGTGTGGCATGGCGTGTGGCATGGCGTGTGGTGTGCATGGCGTGTGGCATGGCGTGTGGCATGGCGTGTGGCATGGCGTGTGGCATGGCGTGTGGCATGGCGTGTGGCATGGCGTGTGGCATGGCGTGTGGCATGGCGTGTGGCATGGCGTGTGGCATGGCGTGTGGCATGGCGTGTGGCATGGCGTGTGGCATGGCGTGTGGCATGGCGTGTGGCATGGCGTGTGGCATGGCGTGTGGCATGGCGTGTGGCATGGCTGATGCATGGCTGATGCATGGCTGATGCATGGCTGATGCATGGCTGATGCATGGCTGATGCATGGCTGATGCATGGCTGATGCATGGCTGATGCATGGCTGATGCATGGCTGATGCATGGCTGATGCATGGCTGATGCATGGCTGATGCATGGCTGATGCATGGCTGATGCATGGCTGATGCATGGCTGATGCTGGCTGATGCATGGCTGATGCAATGGCTGATGCATGGCTGATATGCATGGCTGATGCATGGCTGATGCATGGCTGATGCATGGCCTGATGCATGGCTGATGCTGATGCATGGCTGATGCATGGCTGATGCATGGCTGATGCATGGCTGATGCATGGCTGATGCATGGCTGATGCATGGCTGATGCATGGCTGATGCATGGCTGATGCATGGCTGATGCATGGCTGATGCATGGCTGATGCATGGCTGATGCATGGCTGATGCATGGCTGATGCATGGCTGATGCATGGCTGATGCATGGCTGATGCATGGCTGATGCATGGCTGATGCATGGCTGATGCATGGCTGATGCATGGCTGATGCATGGCTGATGCATGGCTGATGCATGGCTGATGCATGGCTGATGCATGGCTGATGCATGGCTGATGCATGGCTGATGCATGGCTGATGCATGGCTGATGCATGGCTGATGCATGGCTGATGCATGGCTGATGCATGGCTGATGCATGGCTGATGCATGGCTTGATGCATGGCTGATGCATGGCTGATGCATGGCTGATGCATGGCTGATGCATGGCTGATGCATGGCTGATGCATGGCTGATGCATGGCTGATGCATGGCTGATGCATGGCTGATGCATGGCTGATGCATGGCTGATGCATGGCTGATGCATGGCTGATGCATGGCTGATGCATGGCTGATGCATGGCTGATGCATGGCTGATGCATGGCTGATGCATGGCTGATGCATGGCTGATGCATGGCTGATGCATGGCTGATGCATGGCTGATGCATGGCTGATGCATGGCTGATGCATGGCTGATGCATGGCTGATGCATGGCTGATGCATGGCTGATGCATGGCTGATGCATGGCTGATGCATGGCTGATGCATGGCTGATGCATGGCTGATGCATGGCTGATGCATGGCTGATGCATGGCTGATGCATGGCTGATGCATGGCTGATGCATGGCTGATGCATGGCTGATGCATGGCTGATGCATGGCTGATGCATGGCTGATGCATGGCTGATGCATGGCTGATGCATGGCTGATGCATGGCTGATGCATGGCTGATGCATGGCTGATGCATGGCTGATGCATGGCTGATGCATGGCTGATGCATGGCTGATGCATGGCTGATGCATGGCTGATGCATGGCTGATGCATGGCTGATGCATGGCTGATGCATGGCTGATGCATGGCTGATGCATGGCTGATGCATGGCTGATGCATGGCTGATGCATGGCTGATGCATGGCTGATGCATGGCTGATGCATGGCTGATGCATGGCTGATGCATGGCTGATGCATGGCTGATGCATGGCTGATGCATGGCTGATGCATGGCTGATGCATGGCTGATGCATGGCTGATGCATGGCTGATGCATGGCTGATGCATGGCTGATGCATGGCTGATGCATGGCTGATGCATGGCTGATGCATGGCTGATGCATGGCTGATGCATGGCTGATGCATGGCTGATGCATGGCTGATGCATGGCTGATGCATGGCTGATGCATGGCTGATGCATGGCTGATGCATGGCTGATGCATGGCTGATGCATGGCTGATGCATGGCTGATGCATGGCTGATGCATGGCTTGATGCATGGCTGATGCATGGCTGATGCATGGCTGATGCATGGCTGATGCATGGCTGATGCATGGCTGATGCATGGCTGATGCATGGCTGATGCATGGCTGATGCATGGCTGATGCATGGCTGATGCATGGCTGATGCATGGCTGATGCATGGCTGATGCATGGCTGATGCATGGCTGATGCATGGCTGATGCATGGCTGATGCATGGCTGATGCATGGCTGATGCATGGCTGATGCATGGCTGATGCATGGCTGATGCATGGCTGATGCATGGCTGATGCATGGCTGATGCATGGCTGATGCATGGCTGATGCATGGCTGATGCATGGCTGATGCATGGCTGATGCATGGCTGATGCATGGCTGATGCATGGCTGATGCATGGCTGATGCATGGCTGATGCATGGCTGATGCATGGCTGATGCATGGCTGATGCATGGCTGATGCATGGCTGATGCATGGCGTGTGATGTGGCAGATGGACAAGGAGGACGAGGCGGAGGTGAGGAAGCGCATCATGGAGGCCAAGTTTGACTTCAACGACATGCTCAAGCAGACGCGCATGATGGCGCGCATGGGGTCCATGGGCGGCATGCTCAAACTCATCCCCGGCATGAACAAGGTCTCCCCGCCCCGCCCCGCACCGCCAGCCCCCCACCAATGAAACACCTCTGCTGTATGCTCTTCCATCTTCTTAACTCGCCCCACGTGCCACACCACAGTAACTGGTGTTCCGTTGTCCCCTCACTTGGCCTCATGGTACAGACCGCAGCTTCCTCATCGCCTGCCTTGCCTCTGCCACCCTCCCTCACTGCTGTGTGCCCACGCAACGCCCTACCCCGTGTGCGCTGACAGCTGACACCGCAGCAGGTGCGCGAGGCAGAGAAGAGCCTCGAAGTCATGGAGTCCATGATCGCCTCCATGACCAACCGTCAGTGCCCCTCCACCCCCCTCCACCCCCCTCCACGCTCCTCCACCCTCCTCCACCCTCCATCATCCTCCTTTAACCTCGTGCCTGCACCGGTGCTTGCATTCATCTCATGCTGACCACCTGTGTCCCCAGCGTGTTGCAGCGTGCTCGAGCTGTGCTGCCTCCTTTCACTTTCCTAATACTCATTATCCTTGCGCATGCACTCCCCCCCATGCCCCTCGCCGCTCCCCCGCGCACCGCACGGCACCGCATCAGAGGAGCGTGCGGACCCGGAGCTGCTTGCCAAGAGCCCGTCGCGCCGTCGCCGAATCGCCAAAGGATCAGGCAGAAGCCAGGAGCAGGTGGGCAGGTGAAGCAGGAGCAGGTGGGCAGGTGAAGCAGGAGCAGGTGGGCAGGTGAAGCAGGAGCAATGAACAGCTTCTTTATTTGCCCTTGGTCCGTGCACTTTGTTACTGTCATCTCGGAGTGTGGTTTGCCATGATTGATTGGTGTGTGAGTTGTCGGTGTGCAGGTGAGCGCACTGATCTCGCAGCTGTTCCAGATGCGAGTGCGCATGAAGGCCGTGGCCGACATGGTGTCTGGCAAGGCCATGCCCGCCATTCCCGGCCTCGACACATCCGGCGCCAAGAAGGTGCGTCCCCTCGCCAAGATGCTAGTTGCTGCATGGCATGGCCACGGCCATCTGCCTGGAGGTTCTCATCACCGTTTGGTGGTTTTTCTTTGTTTGGGGCGTTACCTCCATGCAGGCCAGTTCCGGCAAGGCGAAGCGGAAGAAGAGCCGAACTGGCTTCTCACAACAGCTAGGGGACAACACGGCAGTGGCTGCCGGAGCAAAAGGATTTGGTGGTCGAAATTAGGGAATTGCAAAATAGATCCTGGAGTTGATGAGAAAGTTTTGCCACTTGAAAGAAGTTTCAAGATTTTCCAAACCTACAGTCAAAGCTGTGAAGCTCTCCAGGCACTGACTGGGCCCAGTTGGAATGAGGGCCTGCCAAATTGGTTTAAAGTTATACTAACTACAACCAACAAATTGGTTTTGAGTCAGGAAGCTACAGTGTGGTAAGCGTTATTTCGTACCAACCAGCCTGCCGCAGCGAAACGGAGAGCCGCTGGAAATTGAGCGACATGGGCATGACGCGCTGCGTGGCATGCACTTTGGATGGCCTTGTGGTGAATTGCATTTCCGCTGCGCCGAGACTTGCAGTTGACCTTCGTGCTTCCATACCCCCCTGACCCAACTTTCATCTCTACGACCAAATCGACACGACGACCCACGCAACTTTCTAGTAACGACGAAAGTAGGAGGAGCCCTACATCAAATAGTTCCAGCCAGTATAATAGATTTACGCTCCCATGCCCCTCGTCCTCCAGGCCATTGACAGCTTTTCACGCGTTTGAAATGGGCCCGTCGTCAATATCCTCCAGACAATAAGCGAATTCGATTCTCCGGGCTCGCACGACTCTATGCGACTGGCGTCGAGCTCGCACGACTCTAAGCGACTGGCGTCGAGCTCGCACGACTCTAAGCGACTGGCTTCGAGCTCGCTGTCGCGCGGCTGCCAGCCATGCACATCCCCACCGCCCGCACCGCAGCTGCGAGTATGCGCCCACACTCCCGCTGCACCGTGTTCCCCTCCCGTCCGCGTCTCCCCCTGCTATCCCTCGCGCCGTGCCTGCTGCTACTGCTGCTCCCCCCCCGCATCCCCTCCGCCTCCGCCTTCGCGCCCGACGCCATCCGCGGCCTGCCGGGGCAGCCGCGCGGAGCGCCGGCGTTCGGGCAGTGGGCGGGGTACATACCGGTGGGGCCGGCGGGGCGGAAGCGGCTCTTCTATTGGCTCACGGAGTCCGTGGCGGCGCCTCTCACCAAGCCGCTCGTGCTGTGGCTCAACGGAGGTGCGCAGATGGTCGCATTCGACTATATGCATCCGGCATCGCATTCGACTATATGCATCCGGCATCGCGCCCCGTGATTTTGGGGATGAAAAGATAGTCGTGGGATCGCGCTTCCTGTATGCGCGTGGGTCAGCTGGGAGTGTGAGGGAGGGTGCGTAGAGATGCGCGTAGAGAGGGATGACTGTTCCTCACCGCATGTCGGGTGTGCGTGGTGCCGTGGTGTCACCGCAGGTCCAGGGTGCTCGTCCATCGGCTACGGTCTCCTGCAGGAGCTCGGGCCCTGGTGAGTTGCTCGGGCCCTGGTGAGTTGCTCGGGCCCTGGTGAGTTGCCGGCGCACTCTTGGTGACTTGCATGTGCCGGTTCGTCCTTGTGCGCCGAGTCGCTTGACGAGCGCGCTGACTGTGAGTGGGGCGTGGCTGTGTGCAGGCGAGTGGCGGGCCCCGCGGGACGGCAGCTGCAGTTCAACCCGTACTCGTGGAACAAACGTAACCCCCCGCCCGGCCACTTCGCCCTCTTTGCCTTTCGCTGACATTCGTCACAAGCCACTCCATTCTGCTGGCTCCTCGTGTTACGTGCGTACATCTCCACACTTACCCTCCCTCCCCCTGTGTGCGCGCAGTGGCGAACGTGCTGTTCCTGGACTCGCCTGCGGGAGCGGGCTTCTCGTACTCGCTGGCGGCCTCCGACCTCGCCACGGGCGACAACCAAACAGGTTTCCCCCCCGCCTCCCCGCTCCCTCTTCCCCCTCTCCCGCTCTTCCCTCCCTTCCTTCCGGTCCCCGTTCTACCCCTTCCCCTCTTGCCCGTCCCTCTGTACTGCCTCCTCGTTTCTCACTCTCTCCCTTCCTCGATCCCCATCCCGCCGTTCCCCCCGTGCCAGCCCAGGACACGGTGCAGTTTCTGCGCGCCTTCCTCCGCCGCCACCCGCGCTACAACGGGCGCAAGCTGCTGCTGGCGGGGGAGAGTTACGCAGGTGAGGGGGGAAGGTTTGCAGGTGAGGGGGGAAGGAGGGACGCAGGTGAAGCAGGAGGTACGCGGGGAAAGGGGAATGGTACAATGCGGACGCCAATATTGGTCTGCCCCTCCTTTATCCCACCATACGCCTCCTCCCCGCCCTTCCCTCTCCTCCCTGCTCTCCCATTTGCCCCCCTTGTGCGCGCAGGTCACTACATTCCGCAGCTGGCGGACGCGTTGGTGGCGATGGAGGCGCGCCCGGCGCTGAGGGTGCGCATGAGAGTGGGGGGCGTGCTGCTGGGCAACCCCTTCGTGCACGCGCGCGTTGACACCTCCTCGCGCGCGCGCTTCTTCCTCGACCACGGGCTGCTCTCCCCGCGCCTCTTCTCCCAGGCCGCGCAGGTATACTATATCATCCCCTGCCGCCCTGCTGTGTGCCCTGCCACTCTCTCTCGTCATTCGGCTGGGGCGCCTTTCATTCACCTCCTCGTCTCTCACCATGGCGAGCAAGTTACCACTTATGTGTCCTTCCGCCCCATTCCCCATTCTCCCTGCCCGTGCCCCATGCGCATGCGCATGCCCCCCGCCCCCTGCAGTGCGGGTTCTCCCCCAACACGGTGCGGCCCGGCATGGCATGTGACGCTGTCATGAACGCCGTTGCCACCGCTGACGTCAGTGCCGTAGCCCTTCGCCTCATGTCCCATGCCTCATGTCCCATGCTTTCGTGCCTTCCCTGTTGCTGCAAGGAAGTGCTGGCAGTGTTGGCAGTGTTGGCAGTGCTGGCAGTGCTGGCAGTGTTGGCAGTGTTGGCAGTGCTGGCAGTGCTGGCAGTGTTGGCAGTGCTGGCAGTGTTGGCAGTGCCTAGCCATGAAAATGAGCAACAAGGGTTGTTGACGTCCGTGTGTTTGTGTGTGCATGTGTGCATGTGTGCATGTGTGCATGTGTGCATGGATCTACCATCGTGCATGCACTGGCATCAACCCATCACGCCCCCCAAGCACAGAGCGGCATCGACCCCTATGGTACCCACCCACCCACATTGCCTGCTCTGCTCGCCACCTCCTCACTGCTCTCGCCACCTCCTCAATGCTCTCACCAAGCAAATGCATGTGTCACGCTGCCCAACACACATCACCCGTCCCATTCCATTCCCAGCACGCCTTTTTTATTTTCCACCTCAAACACTCGCTGCTTCGCACGCCCTCTCTTGCGTTAACACCACTCCACTCCTCCCCACTCCTCAATCTCTTTCCCCCATCCAGACATATACGCGCCAGTGTGCCTCTCCCCCGCCTACCACTCCCTTCAGCTCAACACGCAACGCTTCCGCCTCTCTCGCCTCTTCACCTCCTCTCCCCGCCCCTCTACACCGCACTCCACCTCGCCTTCCGCCACCTCCTCCTCACCCTCCTCTTTACACCCTGCCTCACAAGCAAGAGGGGCGGGAGGGGGGCTGGTGGGGTCAATACAGGGTCAGAGCGCAAGTGTATGGGGAGGAGAGGGGGAGAGCGGAGAGGGGGGAACAGGTGCAGTGAGGGGAGCAGAGGGAGCAGCAGGTGCAATGAGTGGCGTCGACGGGGAGGGGGAGGTGGAGGGGGCGGAGGATGCGGGGGCAGCGAGCAGGGCGTGCATGGACGTGTGGGTGCAGCGGTACCTGCAGTGGCCTCCCGTGCAGCGCGCCCTCCATGCCATGCCCGCTGCTGCTGCCGCCCAGCCGCACCACTGGGTGCCCTGCAGGTGCGAGGCACCAACCGTGCGCTCTCCATGCCTCGTTGCTGCACGCACTCCCACTCCTCCCTCCCTCCCTCCCTCTCTGCCTCCCTCCCTCCCTCTCTGCCTCCCTCCCTCCCTCTCTGCCTCCCTCCTTCCCTCCCTTGCTTCCTCCCTCCCTCCCTCCGCACCTCCCGCCCTCTCCCATTCCCCCACTTTTCCCGTTCTCAACTGTGCATCACTCTCACCCCCCTATCACCTACCACCCTCTCACCTACCCCCTTATTAATTTCCTCCTCCCTCCCTCTCTACCCCCCTCGCCCCCCCCCACAGCGCATCACTGCAGTACGCCAGTGCGGACATGGAGGTCTCCATGCTGCCCGTGCTGCACCGCCTGCTCGCAGCGCAAGTGCCCCTCTGGATCATGTCGTGAGTGCCCCTCTGCCTCATGTCGTGAGTGCCCCTCTGGATCATGTCGTGAGTGCCCCTCTGGATCATGTCGTGAGTGCCCCTCTGCCTCATGTCGTGAGTGCCCCTCTGCCTCATGTCGTGAGTGCCCCTCTGCCTCATGTCGTGAGTGCCCCTCTGCCTCATGTCGTGAGTGCCCCTCTGCCTCATGTCGTGAGTGCACTGGTGGGTGGAATGAGGTGGTGGGTGCAGGGCGGAATGTCGTGGGATGTGGGAGTATGATGTGCTCAGTTCATGTCACCTCCACTGTACCAAGCCCACATGCTCTGCCCTCACTCCGGTGTTTCAAAACACACACCACTCCCCTGACCCCTCTCTGCACCCCTCTGCACCCCTCTGCACCCCTCTGCACCGCTGTGCACCCCTGTGCACGGCAGGGGCGACACGGACTCAGTGGTGCCGTTCACGGGCACGAGGCAGTGGGTGGCGGGGCTCAACCTGCCGCTGCTCGCCCCTCTCCACCCCTGGACGCTGCCCTCCAACCAGGTGTGTGCCACTGCTGTGCACACACGGTGCAGCGTGGCGTGCAGGTGCTGCAGCATGGCACGCACACCACAGCCACGTGCTGCACCGCCGCCCTCACATCTCCCCTCACGTTTTCTCTCAATGCTCTCCATCGTCCCCCGCTTCCTCCCTTCTCCCCCCCAGTTCGCCCCTAAATCCTCCTCCCCCTCCCACCCACCGTCCCCCTCCCCTCCCGCTCACCTCCTCTCCCCCAGGTGGGGGGGTGGGTGACGCGGTACAAGGGCGTGACATTCATCACGGTGCGGGGGGCGGGCCACCAGATCCCCACGGGGCGACCCGCGGCCGCCCTCACCATCTTCCACCACTTCCTCCACGGCACCACGCTACACGCCCTGCCCTCCTTCTACCGGTAGCTGCCCCGTGCCCAAGCCATGGAGGGGACAGCCTGGAGGCAGCATGCACACAGCTAACCTGCTAACACGTTAACACACTAACACACAACGCCACTCCGCCACTTCCTGCCGAGGCCTTGCACACCACACGTGTACAGGCGGTGAAGATTATTTGCTTCGTTGTGCGCTGCACAATAGCAGCAGCAGAAAGACTCGCATGGCATGGCACGTTATTTTGCTGTACTAGTATCTGGATGATGTGTGTACAGTATGTTGGAATTGTATCACATCCTACTGACAATCTTTCAGTACCTAGTTGCAATTGCAAGGCTTGTTGTTTCTCATGAGCACCAGGTCACTTGAACCTCCAATGTAGAGGTCACAGGATTAAAGCCCGAGTACCACATGGTATATTTCAAGTTCAAGATTCTTGAACTTGAAGTCGCAAAAAAACAGGGTAACCCTCTTTGGTTTGAAACTCAACTCGCGACCCCGGGAAAACCTCTTGCGACCCTCACTCCTGATTGGTTTCAGTGACCAGTCGCACGACAGACCCGTCCATCGCCCACAATATTGCCTGGATCACCTCTCACATATCTTGAAGACCAAGTAGTACTTCTAGTCCACTATGACACACGTAACTAGGAAACGGGCGGCTGGGCGACAAAAGCACCCTCAAGGGTAGGCGTTTTTTTCGGCCAACACTAGTCCCTCACGCTGTCTGTCCAATCACTGCGTAGCACAACTGCCTGCCAAACTCGCCCGCACCGTGCCTCTTTCGAATGCCAGACACGGTACGTCCGTGCTAGTGCCCCACACGCGCAAGGCTCCCGAAAATGGCATGAGTTGCCACACTCACTGCTTGTAGGATGTCGTGTGCGCTTTACCCTCGTGAGACTCGCGGAAAAGCGATTCCCGCGCTTCATCACGTCGGCCACACTTGCTCGAGCATCGATATCTACCACTCGTCGCCCTCACTTCCTTTCGTCGCCCGCGCTTCCCACCGTCCAGCGCTTCTCCAGGTTGCCCGCGCGCGCTCCTCCTTGACGCCCGCGCGCGCTTATCCTTGACGCCCGCGCGCGCGTCGCCCGTTTGCCCGCGCGCGATTTTCCACGTCGCCCTCGCGCGCTTCTTCTCGTCGCCCGCGCGCGGTTCAGATCGTCGCCCGCGCGATACCAAAATCGTCGCCCCCGCCACTTGATTTCGCGCGTGCTTCTCCTCGTCGCCTCCGCCTCTGTATTTCGCGCTGGCGTCACCGTACCCGCCTGCATCCCCGCCTCCGTCCACCCTCCATCTCTTCCTCCCTCCCATCTATCCCTCTCCCCTCGCTTCCTATATCTCTCGCTCTCTCTTACACTCCCATCTCCCTCGCGCTCTCTTTCTCTTCTGCCTCTTTCGATCTCTCTGCACTCCTTCCTTCCCACCTTCTCTCTCTTTCCTCGCCCTTCCCACGGACAGACAGAGGGTGCAGGACACAGGGGGAGAGACAGAGGGTGCAGGACACAGGGGGAGAGACAGAGGGTGCAGGACACAGGGGGAGAGACAGAGGGTGCAGGACACAGGGGGAGAGACAGAGGGTGCAGGACACAGGGGGAGAGACAGAGGGTGCAGGACACAGGGGGAGAGACAGAGGGTGCAGGACACAGGGGGAGAGACAGAGGGTGCAGGACACAGGGGGAGAGACAGAGGGTGCAGGACACAGGGGGAGAGACAGAGGGTGCAGGACACAGGGGGAGAGACAGAGGGTGCAGGACACAGGGGGAGAGACAGAGGGGGAATGTCACAGGGGGAGAGATAGAGGGGGAAGGAGACAGGGTTGTTGACAGAAGGGGAAGGACAGAGGGGGAGAGATCGAGGGGGAAGGAGACAGGGAGAGAGACAGAAGGGGAAGGACAGAGGGGGAGATACAGAGGGGGGAGGACATAGGGAAGGACCTCAGAGAGGTCAGCGCCACGCACCAGGTGAGCCTTCGCTTTCCCCATATGCCCCTCCTCTCCCTCGATCTCACCATCTTTCCTGTCCCACCCCATGTACCTTCCTCTGGCATCTGCCCCTGTTCCCCCCATCCTATCCCTTGTGACCCCTTATCCCCTGCCCTGTTTCCCCCATCCTATCCCTTGTGACCCCTTATCCCCTGCCCTGTTTCCCCCATCCTCTGACCTGCTTCTCCACACCCTCTACCTGTTTCCCCCAATCCCCTTCCCTGCTTCCCCCCCTCCGCTTCCCTGCTTCCTCCCATCCCCTTCCCTGCTTCCCCCCCCATCCCCTTCCCTGCTTCCCCCCCCATCCCCTTCCCTGCTTCCCCCCCTCCCCTTCCCTGCTTCCCCTCATCCCCTTCCCTGCTTCCCCCCATCCCCTTCCCTGCTTCCCCCCATCCCCTTCCCTGCTTCCCCCCATCCCCTTCCCTGCTTCCCCCCCTCCGCTTCCCTGCTTCCCCCCATCCCCTTCCCTGCTTCCCCCCATCCCCTTCCCTGCTTCCCCCCATCCCTTCCCTGCTTCCCCCCATCCCTTTCCCTGCTTTCCCCGATCCCCTTCCCTGCTTCCCCCCATCCCCTTCCCTGCTTCCCCCCATCCCCTTCCCTGCTTCCCCCCATCCCCTTCCCTGCTTCCCCCATCCCCTTCCCTGCTTCCCCCCATCCCCCTCCCTGCTTCCCCCCATCCCCTTCCCTGCTTCCCCCCATCCCCTTCCCTGCTTCCCCCCCTCCGCTTCCCTGCTTCCTCCCATCCCCTTCCCTGCTTCCCCCCCCATCCCCTTCCCTGCTTCCCCCCCCATCCCCTTCCCTGCTTCCCCCCCTCCCCTTCCCTGCTTCCCCTCATCCCCTTCCCTGCTTCCCCCCATCCCCTTCCCTGCTTCCCCCCATCCCCTTCCCTGCTTCCCCCCCTCCGCTTCCCTGCTTCCCCCCATCCCCTTCCCTGCTTCCCCCCATCCCCTTCCCTGCTTCCCCCCATCCCTTCCCTGCTTCCCCCCATCCCTTTCCCTGCTTCCCCCGATCCCCTTCCCTGCTTCCCCCCATCCCCTTCCCTGCTTCCCCCCATCCCCTTCCCTGCTTCCCCCCATCCCCTTCCCTGCTTCCCCCATCCCCTTCCCTGCTTCCCCCCATCCCCCTCCCTGCTTCCCCCCATCCCCTTCCCTGCTTCCCCCCATCCCCTTCCCTGCTTCCCCCCATCCCCTTCCCTGCTTCCCCCCATCCCCTTCCCTGCTTCCCCCCATCCCCCACCCAGAATCCCCCCATCCCCTTCCCTGCTTCCCCCCCTCCGCTTCCCTGGTTCCCCTCATCCCCTTCCCTGCTTCCCCCCATCCCCTTCCCTGCTTCCCCCCATCCCCTTCCCTGCTTCCCCCCCTCCGCTTCCCTGCTTCCCCCCATCCCCTTCCCTGCTTCCCCCATCCCCTTCCCTGCTTCCCCCCATCCCCTTCCCTGCTTCCCCCCATCCCCCACCCAGAATCCCCCCATCCCCTTTCCCTGCTTCCCCCCCTCCGCTTCCCTGCTTCCCCCCCCATCCCCTTCCCTGCTTCCCCCCCCATCCCCTTCCCTGCTTCCCCCCCTCCCCTTCCCTGCTTCCCCTCATCCCCTTCCCTGCTTCCCCCCATCCCCTTCCCTGCTTCCCCCCATCCCCTTCCCTGCTTCCCCCCATCCCCTTCCCTGCTTCCCCCCCTCCGCTTCCCTGCTTCCCCCCATCCCCTTCCCTGCTTCCCCCCATCCCCTTCCCTGCTTCCCCCCATCCCTTCCCTGCTTCCCCCCATCCCTTTCCCTGCTTCCCCCGATCCCCTTCCCTGCTTCCCCCCATCCCCTTCCCTGCTTCCCCCCATCCCCTTCCCTGCTTCCCCCCATCCCCTTCCCTGCTTCCCCCATCCCCTTCCCTGCTTCCCCCCATCCCCCTCCCTGCTTCCCCCCATCCCCTTCCCTGCTTCCCCCCATCCCTTCCCTGCTTCCCCCCATCCCTTTCCCTGCTTCCCCCGATCCCCTTCCCTGCTTCCCCCCATCCCCTTCCCTGCTTCCCCCCATCCCCTTCCCTGCTTCCCCCCATCCCCTTCCCTGCTTCCCCCCATCCCCCACCCAGAATCCCCCCATCCCCTTCCCTGCTTCCCCCCATCCCCTTCCCTGCTTCCCCCCATCCCCTTCCCTGCTTCCCCCCATCCCCTTCCCTGCTTCCCCCCATCCCCCACCCAGAATCCCCCCATCCCCTTCCCTGCTTCCCCCCCTCCGCTTCCCTGCTTCCCCTCATCCCCTTCCCTGCTTCCCCCCATCCCCTTCCCTGCTTCCGCCCATCCCCTTCCCTGCTTCCCCCCATCCCCTTCCCTGCTTCCCCCCATCCCCTTCCCTGCTTCCGCCCATCCCCTTCCCTGCTTCCCCCCATCCCCTTCCCTGCTTCCCCCCATCCCCTTCCCTGCTTCCCCCCATCCCCTTCCCTGCTTTCCCCCATCCCCCTCCCTGCTTACCCCCATCCCCTTCCCTGCTTACCCCCATCCCCTTCCCTGCTTCCCCCCCTCCCCTTCCCTGCTTCCCCCCATCCCCTTTCCTGCTTCCCCCCATCCCTTCCCTGCTTCCCCCCATCCCTTTCCCTGCTTCCCCCCATCCCTTTCCCTGCTTCCCCCCATCCCCTTCCCTGCTTCCCCCCATCCCCTTCCCTGCTTCCCCCCCTCCGCTTCCCTGCTTCCCCCCATCCCCTTCCCTGCTTCCCCCCATCCCTTTCCCTGCTTCCCCCCATCCCCTTCCCTGCTTCCCCCCATCCCCTTCCCTGCTTCCCCCCCTCCGCTTCCCTGCTTCCCCCGATCCCCTTCCCTGCTTCCCCCCATCCCCTTCCCTGCTTCCCCCCATCCCCTTCCCTGCTTCCCCCCATCCCCTTCCCTGCTTCCCCCATCCCCTTCCCTGCTTCCCCCCATCCCCCTCCCTGCTTCCCCCCATCCCCTTCCCTGCTTCTCCCCATCCCCTTCCCTGCTTCCCCCCATCCCCTTCCCTGCTTCCCCCCATCCCCCTCCCTGCTTCCCCCCATCCCCTCCCTGCTTCCCCCCCATTCCCCTCCCTGCTTTCCCTCTCCCTCCTCCCTGCTTTCCCTCTCCCTCCTCCCTGCTTCCCCCCTCCATCCCCAATGCTTCCCCCATGCCCCTCCTCTCCCTCGATCTTGCCATCTTTCCTGTCCCTCCCCATGTGCCTCTCCAATCCCTCCCCTTGTACCTATCCTCTCCCTCCCCATGTACAATCGCAAAGAGGAGGGGGGACGCACGCGCAACAGGGGGGCAGCGCAGCAAACTTGTGTGCAATCTCAGTGACCATTCACCCTCTCTTGCAGACCTTTTTGGACTGCATTCACATCCGGAAGGATGAGGGGGGACGCAGGTGCAACTAGGGGGCAGCGCAGCAGACTTAGGAACACGCTCACGTTCGAAAAGTGCCTGCTGCATCGATGAGATGATAAAGTCTGGGCTGAATGCTGAGATGTGTGCTTATTTTTCTCTTCCCATTCCCCTCCATGCTTGCCGCCCAGCAGGTGCTGGAGAGCGGCGCCCAGGTGCTGAGCGACCGGGGAATCTGCTGCATTGATGATTTTGAAAACATGTCCAGTAATGCCTCGTTCAGCATATTGCCAGCAGCATGCTGCAACATAACCCCCACTCTTTTCATACTCCCCACTACTCTCATACCCCCCACTCCTTTCATACTCCCCACTCCTCTCATACCCCCACTCATTCCATACCATCCACTCCCCCCACTCCTCTCATACTCCCCATTCCTCTCATACCCCGCACTCCCCTCGTACACCCAACTCCTCTCATACCCCACAGTCCCCTCATACCCCCTGCTCCTCTCATATCCCTACACCCTCGTTCCAAACTTCCCACTCCTTTCATATCACCCACTCCTCTCATACCCACCGCTAATGTGAATTCAAATTGTCACTGTTTCGTCTGGTCCCGCTTTCCACCTATGCACTGCTTTCCACCCTTGCACCCCTGCTTCCCACCCTTGCACCACTGCTTTCCACCCTTGCACCCCTGCTTCCCACCCTTGCACCACTGCTTTCCACCCTTGCACCCCTGCTTCCCACCCTTCCACCCCTGCTTTCCACCCTTGCACCCCTGCTCTCCACCTTTGCACCCCTGCTTCCCACCCTTGCACCCCTGCTTCTCCCCCTTGCACCCCTGCTTTCCACCCTTGCACCCCTGCTTCTCCCCCTTGCACCCCTGCTTTCCACCCTTGCACCCCTGCTTCTCCCCCTTGCACCCCTGCTTTCCACCCTTGCACCCCTGCTTTTCTGCTTCAAGAGCAGCAGCAAGTCCCTCCAGAGATCCTATAGCTGCCACTGGTTCGTCTGCTCCTTCTCTGAGCTACTACTGGTACATTTTTTAGCCCTCAAGCTGTGCGCCTTCTATCCCACCCATGCATCTGCCATGTGTTGGCAGGCTAACTGGTGTGTCGATTCCAGTACTGACACCTTTGGAGTAAGATAATTGTTACACATCATCATGGATGTATCCTTTTTGGGATACCAAACAAGCTAGTGCCCTAGGCAGAATGGAACATGAGCTGGATTAGGGTCTCAAGAATCGAAGCATGGGATTAGTTTCACCGGGCTATAATATGTGCAAGTTTATTTCACTCTTATCATGATTAGGTTTAGGACAGAACGGCAAAGTTGGTGAAAACACATTCAAGCATGACATGTTCAAGACCACATTAGCACAGTGGGGATGGAAACACAACCCCATTTATTCATCCTGACCTGCCACCCACACCTCCACTTCCTCCCCGTCATAGTGGCCTGCTACCCACCACTCATCACTATCGTCGCTCCAATCCTCCGCATCTTTTATCACTGCGTCTGCCACATCATCCCCTTGATCCGATGGCAATTCCGCCTTATCCCTCTCACAGTGGTAACCTGCAGCTATAGCCAATGAGAAGGAGGATAAGCCAGAATTTAGGGTGGTGTGCCTGTAGCTATGAATAATCTCATCCGCAGAGCATGGCAGGGCATGCCTGGAGGGGGGGAGGGAGAAGGGCGGAGCGGAGCATGACAGGGGAGGGCACCGCAGGGCATGGCATGGCATGGGAGAGGCATGGCATGACGCGGATGGTGCAGACATGGGCGGGGCGGGCCATCAGAAAGCAGGGCAGGCATGGCCCCTCTAGTCATGGCATGGCAGAAAATGAGGGTGCAGACAAGGGCGGGGCGGCATTGCAGGGCAGGACATGGCAGGGCAGGGCAGGGCAGGACAGGGCAGGGCAGGTCAGGGCAGGACAGGGCAGGGCAGGGCACGGCAGGGCAGGGCACGGCAGGGCAGGGCAGGGCAGGGCAGGGCAGGGCAGGGCAGGGCATGGCTAGCAGGGCAGGGCAGGGCAGGGAAGGGCAGGGCAGGGTAGGGCATGACAGGGCAGGGCAAGGCATCTCCTGGTATAGCATGGCATGTTTAGTTGGAGCACGGAAACGCGGTGCGGGGCAGGACAGGGAAGATGGGGAGTGGCATGCCGAGGTGGAGTAGACAAGATCGAGGCGAGACCAAACAGGGCATGGTAGGGAATGGGAGAGCTGAGCAGGCCAAGTTATAGCATGGTGGGCGATGGGTGTTTGTCAAATACCTTTGGGGGGGTCGATTGTTGTGGTGGGCGTCGTGGTGGCTCTGCGTGATGCCGAGCAAGCCTCTAGCGGGTTTGAAAGCTCGCTTGATGTTCGCCTTGGGTGCTTAGCGTGGGAGGTTCGACACATCACCTATAAGCAACATACAGATGGAGTGGAAGACGCGGATGGTGAACAGGTGGGGGCATGGTGCTGAAACCAGGCCCAAGGCAGCAGCATCCAGAGATGCTGCTGCCTTGGGACAGAACAGGTGGGTTTACAGTGGTGAAAGCAAGCCCAAGGCAGCAGCAACTCTGGTTGTTGCTGCCTGGGGACTGAACAGGTGGAGGCATGGTGCTGAAACAAGGCCCAAGGCAGCAGCATCCCTGGTTGCTGCTAACTTGGGACCGAACAGGTGGGTTTACAGTGGTGAAAGCAAGCCCAAGGCAGCAGCAACCACAGTTGCTGCTGCCTTGGGACTGAACAGGTGGGTGCATGGTGCTGAAACCAGGCCCAAGGCAGCAGCATCTATGGTTGCTGCTGCCTTGGGACAGAACAGGTGGGTTTACAGTGGTGAAAGCAAGCCCAAGGCAGCAGCAACTCTGGTTGTTGCTGCCTGGGGACTGAACAGGTGGAGGCATGGTGCTGAAACCAGGCCCAAGGCAGCAGCATCTCTGGTTGCTGCTACCTTGGGACCGAACAGGTGGGTTTACAGTGGTGAAAGCAAGCCCAAGGCAGCAGCAACCACAGTTGCTGCTGCCTTGGGACTGAACAGGTGGGTGCATGGTGCTGAAACCAGGCCCAAGGCAGCAGCATCTATGGTTGCTGCTGCCTTGGGACAGAACAGGTGGGTTTACAGTGGTGAAAGCAAGACCTAGGCAGCATCAACTCTGGTTGTTGCTGCCTGGGGACAGAACAGGTGGAGGCATGGTGCTGAAACCAGGCCCAAGGCAGCAGCAACCAGAGTTGCTGCTGCCAAGGGACTGAACAGGTGGGTTTACAGTGGTGAAAGCGGTCCCAAGGCAGCAGGGAACTCTGGTTGTTGCTGCCTGGGGACTGAACAGGTGGGGGCATGGTGCTGAAACCAGGCCCAAGGCAGCAGCAACTCTGGTTGTTGCTGCCTTGGGACAGAACAGGTGGGTTTACAGTGGTGAAAGCAAGACCTAGGCAGCATCAACTCTGGTTGTTGCTGCCTGGGGACAGAACAGGTGGAGGCATGGTGCTGAAACCAGGCCCAAGGCAGCAGCATCTATGGTTGCTGCTGCCTGGGGACAGAACAGGTGGAGGCATGGTGCTGAAACCAGGCCCAAGGCAGCAGCATCTATGGTTGCTGCTGCCTTGGGACAGAGGGTGCAGGTGGGGGCATGGTGCTGAAACCAGGTCCAAGGCAGCAGCATCCAGAGATGCTGCTGCCTTGGGACAGAACAGGTGGGTTTACAGTGGTGAAAGCAAGCCCAAGGCAGCAGCTGTCCTGGTTGCAGCTGTGTGCCTTTGCCTCGTGACACGTGAGCGTGGTAGGACCCCCAAGGCAGCAGCGACCATTGTCACTGTACTATAGTCGCAGTAGCAGGGAATTGGGCACTCACCTGGTCTATCCTCTCGAGCGAGCCGCAGGGGCGTGTGCTGCCCCTTGCTCCCCGTCAGTGCGCAGTATCCGCTTTAGTTGTGCGCGCGGTGGTCGTAGCCAGGTCACCTGGAGGGCGCGCTTCTCGTCGCCGGGAATGCGGGCTCCGCGTCGTCTGGAATGCGGGCTCCGCGTCGTCTGGAACGCGGACTGCCAATCGTTTGGAACACGGACTCCGCGTCGTCTGGAATGCAAGCTCCGCGTCGTCTGGAACGCGGGCTCCGCGTCGTCTGGAACGCGGAGTCCGCGTCGCCGGGAACGTGGGCTCCGCGTCGACTGGAGGGCGGGATCCGATCCGCCTGAAATGCGGGATCCGCGTCGCGAGGAATGCGGGGCTCCGCGTCGCACAGAACGCGAGCAGCTAAATGCGGCGAGCGGGTGCTGCTCGGCGCTTGGTGCGCGAGCCGAATCTCGTCCGCTTTCTTCCCCCTGGCTAGTCACAACGACTCCAATACACTCCCGGTTTCTTGTTGTGCCTAGCTACCCGTAGTCTCCAGTCTGTCATCACGGCCTTCTTCCCGTAAGTGCAATCGCGCTTGCACGTTCCTACACTTTGCTGTTGCCAGCTCCTGCGATGGTCGGTACGCTAGTAATCTGGGGTAAGGATCGTCTCGAACACGTTTCTGTTGTGGCGTTGAGTAGGTGGCGCTGATACCCAGCACGTGCGTTGCTTGCTCTGTTTTTCTATTTCCCGTTAGCATCGAGCTGATTTAGTGGTGAGGTGACTTCGGGTGAGCAACACTTTCCATGCTCGATGCAAGAGAGGATGTGTGAGAGAGGATGTGTGCGACACATTTGTCGCTTTGGGTTGGTGGGATTCGCAGGTTTGGTGAGTGCGAAATGTTCACTTGTTGGAGGATAATTGTTCTCGCCAAAGGCAGCCAACCGAAATAGGCTTCGCAGATCTCGCATACAGCCTATTTCAAATCCACATAACTTGATAATTTACCATGCTGACCCCGGGCTTTAAAGGTACAGACAGACATTCTGAAGTAGCATTCACTTCTTCTAGCTTCTCCATCTCCCAGCAACTACCTGGTAAACCATCTATGCGACATCTCTACAGCACTCCCCACGCAGATCTCTTGCACACCCATCATACCACATACCTACCCCCACTGCCACACCACCAATCCCCCTCACTGCCCCCCCCTGACGGCGCTGACAGCGTTGCAGAAGCGTTCAGCCTGGGGGGAGCGGGAGGCGGGCGGCACGGCCTGGCAGAACATGGCGGCGCGGTCGGCGCGGGTGGTGTCGTCAAGGTCAGGGGCGATGAGGGGCACGAGGGCCTTGAGCTCCGCCAGCGAGGACGACTCCGCTGCCAGCAGCGACTGCAGCAGCACCGCCGTCTCCGATGCCAGCTCCACCCGTGCCTGTCAGCACAGGGAGGGGGGATGCGGGGGAGGAGGGGTGTTGGTGGCGAGTGGGTGGTGGAGCACAGGTATGATGCAGCAGGATGGAGTGCAGAGATGAGGAGGGTGGCATGGCAGATGCGCGGTGCATGTACGCAAAGGGCAGTGTTGAGGGGGGTGGCCGTGTGGAGCTGCTCCGAGACACTGCACTGCCATCGGCCCCTGGGTCCTTCCCCACGTTCCCCATGCCGTGTGCTCATGCTCCCATGCACCCATGCTCCCATGCTCCCATGCACTCATGCACACATGCTCCCATGCACTCATCCACCCATGCACCTATGCACACATGCTCCCATGCACTCATGCACACATGCTCCCATGCACTCATGCACACATGCTCCCATGCACTCATGCTCCCATGCACTCATGCTCCCATACACTCATGCTCCCATGCACTCATGCTCCCATGCACTCATGCTCCCATACACTCATGCTCCCATGCACTCATGCTCCCATGCGCTCATGCACACATGCACTCGTGCACTCATGCACCCATGCACTCATCCCTGTGCTCACACTTTGGCAGGCGTACCTGAGGGGGAGGCGTACCTGAGGGAGAGGGGCTGGTTGGCGGACGGCAGAGATGAGGGCGGGCAGCAGCAGCGGCAGCAGCGCGAGCCCCACGCCCCCGATGACAGCACTGCGCAGGTACTTGCTGTTGCGCTCCTCCTCACTCTCCCCCTTCACCCGCCTCGCCTCCTCCTCCACCTCCCCCCTCATCCCCGCCACCGCCTCCCTCAGCCGCGCCACCTCCCCTGCCATCTCCCCCGGCTGGTGGTGCACGGGAAAGAGGGGAGGAAAGGGAGGGGAGGGGGGGAAGGAAAGAGAGGGGTGGTTGAGGAGGAGCCAGGGAAGTGAGTGACCGAGCCAGGTGGAGTTTCCTGTACCTCATTGAATTTCTGGGAAGCTGTATCGTTTTGTTCCTTGAAGTTGCTGAAGCGTTTTCTTCAGGGTCGCCGCTATTCCATTATGAGCTTGGGTGGGGAGGACGTTGGTGCACTCACAGTCGCGGGCAGCACGGGGGCGGGCGAAGGGGAGTCGGGTGCAGCGGTGGATTGAAAGGGCGGCAGCAACGACTCCCCTGCTGCCACCTCCGCCTCTTTCGCCTCCTCCTCCCCTGCTGCCGCCGCCTCCTCCGCCTGTGCCTTCCCGTGCTCCCCCTCCGCCTGCTCAGCGCCAGCTGCAGCAGCGGCGGCGGGCGCGGGGACGTCTTTAGGGGGCGCGCGGAACTTGGGCATGCGGCGGCGGCGAGGGGCGGAGGGCGGAGGCAGCCCTATGAACCCCAACGTGGGCGGCGGTCCCTCGCTGGGGTGGGGGGAGACGGGGGGGGGGAGGAGGGGAGGGAGGGGATGTGATGGGGGCGGGAAGGCAGCAGGGGAAGGCGCAGGATGGGGGAAAGGTGGCGAGCGGGCAGGAGGGGGAGAGAGGGTGGCAGATTATGTGTGTGCATGTGCGTGGCGGGGGGCGACTCACGCGAGGGCCTTGACGAGTTCGTCCTTGGTGTCGCCCTTGAGCCCTCTCTCCCTCGCCAGGTACCGCAGCTCGCCCATATCCATCGCCTCCAACGCCCGCTCCACCTCCCCCTTCTCCCCCGCCGCCTTCTCCCCGCCTGCTGCAGCCTTGGCAGCAGAAGGTTTGGGAGCAGCAGGTTTGGGAGCAGCAGGCTTGGGAGCAGGTTTGGCGGCCGCGGGAGCAGGAGAGGCGGCGACGGCAGGGGCAGCGGGTTGTGGGGAGGGCGGTTTGGCCTTGACTGGCGTGGCGGCCTTCTGGGCTCTGCGGAGGGCAGGCGGGGCGTGTGGGGGACGGGGGGCGCGCATGTGAGCTTCGGGGATGGGCAGACGCGGGGGAAATGGGGAGGGGAAGGGACGAGGTATGCAAGCATGTCAGGCACGAGTGCACGCACGGCACTGCGCGAATCACAACTCCCCACCCTGCCCTCCCCCGCGCTCTCCCCGCAACCCGATCCCCCTCCGTAGTTCCGCCCATAGCCCAACCCCCCAGGCACTCACAGCAGCGCGGCGACGATCTGCGCCTTGGTGTCCCCGCGCACGCCCTGCGCGCGCGCCATCTGCCGCAGCTCCGCCAGCCCCAGCCCCAGCAGCTCCTTTTCCCGCGCCCCCGCCCCTCCTCCTGCGCCCGCCGCGGCTGCTGGGGGGACCCGCGCAGGTGCAGACACGCCTTGTGCGGCAGCGGGCGGGGAGGCTGGGGGCGCGGGCGAGGGGGAGGGCGGGGGGATGACAGGCGCGGGTGGCGGGGGAGGCTTGGGCAGCGGCTGTCCGGCCATTATGCTGGAGGGGAGAAGAGGGATGGAGGAGTGTGGGGAGAGATAATGAAATCGAGTGCAAGCGGAGAGGTGAGGATAGAAAGGGAGAAGAAAGCGAGCGTGACGCAACATTGCATTCACCTTCCACGCCCTCTGCTGCTCCCAACCCCCCTTCCCCTCACCCCACATCCCCCCATGCGTACAGGCGCAGGTCTCGGAGGATGTCCGCGCGCGTGGATGACCGCGAGCCCCGCTCGCGCGCCAGCTCGCGCAGCTGCGGAAGCGGCATCTTCTCCAGCAGCTGCGTCATTGCGTCCGCGCCGCCCGGCACCACGGCCGGGGGGGCGGGTGGTTGCGGGGGAGCGGAGTACGCGAGTGAGGCCGCGCCTGATCTGAAAGGGCGGGGAGGGGGAAGTGGGGGGGAAGACAGGCGCGGGGAATGGACTGAGGGCAGAAGGCGGATGGCGGATCGCCGATGGCAGAGAAACGGGGGGAGGGAAAAAGGAGGGGTGTGAAAGGTGCGGGAACGGTGTGGGGGGAAACAGAGGCGCGACTGGCCGCCAACTGCCGTGCGAGCCGTGCGCACGCGCGGCACGGCACGTGGTGACTCACAGCAGCAGCTGCTCGACGAGCTCCGCCTTGGTATCTCCGCGCAGCCCCCGCGCCTTGGCCAGGGCGCGCAGTTCCGCCATCGACTTGCGCTGCAGCTCGCGCTCCGCCTCGTCCAGCACACTCACGGATGCGCGCACCACGCCGCTTCCGCGCGCACGGCCGCGAGGAACTTGAGCCAAGGGATTGGGGGAAAGCAGCACCCGCGAGGCGCCATTGAGTTTGGCGGGCAGCAAGAGAGACTGGCGGAGGGCAACGGGGAAGGGACGTGGTTTGGGAGAAGGGGAGGAAACCAAGTGGTGCAGACGATGGAAAAATCCAGCAATCGCTGAACTGCAATGGAGGAGCGCGCGGGCCGTCGAGTGAGCACACCCGGCGACGGCATTGGGGTGGTTGACGGGGCGAAGGGAGTGACTGGCGGCAGCTCATTGCGGGCGACACACGTGCCACGTACCTGCGATACATACGGAGACGCCATATTGACTTCGATAGGTGACGAATACGATAACAGAAACTAGTTTCAAAGAATAGGCGTTTAGTGGCCTCTCAAGGGTCTAACACAAGAGACAAATATGTGAGCTCTCCCTGTGAGTGAAGCAGATATGTGTATGCGATTCTGCGACGAACTCTGTCGAAATGGCCACTCAACTTGAGTTGTCGCAGAACCATTCCTTCGCGCCCCAGATCTGCGCTGAGCTGGGAGAGAAGTGGCCCACCAGGGGCTTCCACGTGGCAACGATTGTGACCAGACCCATATGTGGTGCCGCCCCTGCCCGTGCTTTCAGATAAAGTTTTCAGACTAGGGTGCGTTTCTGTCATTGTTTAGAGTTTTCCCGTTAGTTCTTTCGTTTTTTATTGGCCTTGTTTGAACTCTTTGCAAGCAGCACAATTACAACAGGCTCACCTAAATCGAAGACGGAAGGGCACCCTCAGTTGTCGGATCGTGTGTGGAGATGGTGTCAGCTTCAATGAATATATCCTGGTTTACGGGCAGATGGAAGCCAGTTGTAAGCTGGAAATAAGCGGGAAAAAAACTGACGTGGCATCGGTGGCCTTACACCCTGCCCACGATGAAGCCTAGCCGCTGACCCCATCCATCGGGAAAATGTGGCTCGAATTGGCCACGCTGCCAAAAGTGAAAGGATCTCGAGCTGATCAATGCTGACAGATTTGCCACGTCAGCATGTGCTTTTCACATCCAAACATTCGCACTTGTCACGTTTCGGCACAGCGCGGCTTCAGCGTTCATTTGAAGCTTCCCCGCAGGGCTGCGCGGCCTCCCGCTTCTGCTCCCCGCTCCCACGGATGGGCGCAGTTGCGGCCCTTGGCTCGCGGGGGTCGTTCGTCCGCCTCGCCTCAACTCAACGAACCGTCTCACTCACCTCATCCCACTCAACTCGTCGCGTCATTCATTTGCGTTCTAGAAGCCGTTGGCTGCACCAGGCGCTTCGTCGTTCAAGGCGTGCTGGAAACTGTAGTGGTGGACCCACTGCCGAGGTTTCGGAAGTCTTTAGTTTTTTATTAAGTTCGACTGTGGAAATAACTTGAAGCAGTCGGCGACGCTGATCCCTCTTTCGGAACAGCTTGTGCCGTCGTGATTGCACCTTCGCAGCCCTGGCGTGGCGGCAGCTGCACCCAAGTCGATAGCACGGCGATGCGAAATAGTTCCGACACCACCATGGGTCCCGCGTGTATCTCGTAACGCACTCCCCTCTGTCTTTGCGCACCTGCTTCCGTAAATCCCGGCACCCGGTCCGCCCTAGATCACACTCGCACTCCGCATGGCGGCCGTCACATTAACCCCATCCACGTCCTCAATCCGACGTGGCACCATTTGCGCTCTCGTGTCCCCAGAGCCATGTATCCCCTCGGTCGCTGTTAACCAAACCAACCTCCTTTCGCGAAGCTCCCACCTGCGGTTTCGCTTTAGTTCGTCGTCAAGGAAGTGTCGCCTACATCTGTCGCATCGATCGCGCATAACGCGGCATGACCGGAACGGAAATGGTCCATCGCGGCTCGTCGTGGCGCAATTCGCATCAAGCGGAAGCGGGGGAACAGGTGAGAGTCTGCTCGTACGCCTTACGACAACGTAATCGAGCCGCGAGCTGTGCAATATACCCGCCGACGAAACTGGTTAGCGCGTTACGCTGTAATGGCGCAAACCCCGGAAACGTTCGATTTTTCCCCTCAAAGGACCGTCGGCATGATGGGGTGCGATTGCGTTGGGGGGTGGGCAGGCGGCGTGGAGTGGAACGCCGTGGCGCCAAACATCCTCATCGGCACCACTCCGCGCGACCAGGCCGCGCTCGAGGCGCTCGCAACGCGGGCGGGAGTGAATGCGGTGCTTTGCGTGGAGGTGAGTCCGCTACTCTGCCTCGCGCCACTCCCCCTTCACTCTCCCTTCCCCCCTTGCTGCTGCTGCTGCTGCTGCTGCTACTAGGGCATTCATAACTTTTTTCCCCCCTTCCCTTTCCCCGTCCCCTTCTGTCCTTCCCCCGACATCCGCCGCCATGGTGTGCAGGAGGGCGGGGCGCGGCAGGAGGAGTGGGCGCGGGTGGCGGAGCGCGCGCAGGCCATGGGCATGGTGGCTGTCAGCCTGGCGCTCGCTGACGTCAACCAGGACGAACAGGTGCGGGGAAAGGGGGGGGGAGAGGGTGTGGTGACGGGGGGAGGGGGAGGGTGAAGGGGGAATGAGAAGGGGAAGGGGTATGGGGGAGAGCATATGAGAAGAGGGGCTGGGGTGGAAGGGGATGTGAGTAGGGTTGTGGGGAGAAGGAATAAGAGGTGTGGTGGGTGAACGAGCGACACACGGCAATGAACGCGTGAGGAATGAAACACGAACCAACTACCTGCGCGCTTTCATGCTCAGCGGAGCCACGCGCAGTGCCCTTGGGCCGAGAGGCGGCAGCAGAGAGAGCGTGCGAGGAAAGCGCAGTTACGGACGGCCTTGGCCCGCACACTACAGGCCATGTCCGCGCTTGCGCCATGTCCGCGCTTGCGCCATGTCCGCGCTTGCGCCATGCCCGCCCTTGCGCCATGCCCGCCCTTGCGCCATGCCCGCCCTTGCGTCATGCCCGCCCTTGCGCCATGCCCTCCCTTGCGCCATGCCCTCCCTTGCGCCATGCCCGCCCTTGCGCCATGCCCGCCCTTGCGCCATGCCCGCCCTTGCGCCATGCCCGCCCTTGCGCCATGCCCGCCCTTGCGCCATGCCCGCCCTTGCGCCATGCATGCACCCCATGCCCATCTGTCGCCCATCTGCCGTCCATGCGAACGTGTGCGTGCCGTGCATCGCGCAGGACATGGCGCTGCCGCGCGCCATCTCAGCCGTTGATCTGCTGCTGTCGCGCGGCTACACGGTGCACGTGTGCTGCTCTTCGGGCAACGACAAGGCGCCCCTCGTCGCCCTCGGGTACGCCCCTCCGCGCCCCTCCTAACCCCTCCTCGCCTCTCCTCGCCCATCCTCGCCCCTCGCCGCTCCCACGCCATGACACCGTGCTACCCTGTCACTCCCCCTCACAACCCGCCTCTTCCCCCTTCCCTGCATGCGCGCGCGCAGGTACCTGACGCTGGTGCGCGGGCAGGCGGTGGACGGCGCGCTGGCGGCGCTCAAGGCGGTGCGCCCCTCCATCAACCCGTACATGCTGCCGTGGGAGAAGGTGCGTGCATGCTGCCATGGGTAGGCCCGCGTCCTCCAGCCCCCATCAGGTCGCGCTTGCCCTGGTGGCGCATCAGGTCGCGCTTGCCCTGGTGGCGCATTACCCGCGTGCATGCACGCGCGCGCTTTTTCTACTCCCCTGCACCGCATGCCATCCCGCAATAGCCGTTAGGCGCCACCCCTCTCTCACCCACCCTCACGCGCCCGCCTCATGCGTGTGTCATGAGCACCTAGTGCGGCATCTGCTCCATCCCCCTTCTGCCCCCTGCACCCACGCCATATCGCCCCCCCCCCCACTCGCCCATCACTCCATGGACCCTCCCTCCCATGCCGCCTCCCCAACCTTTCCCGTACTGCCAACCCTCCCACCACCACCCCTCGCCCACCCACTGGTTCACTCGCAGGCCCGTCGTGCGCATGCCTTTATATCGTTACCCACTCCGTCCCCCCTCTTTTCCCCTCCCCGGGAGCAGTTGAGGGACAGTCTGAGTGCGGGCGACAGCAAGCGCGTGCTGCAGCTGACGCAGGAGGAGTTTCGGCGGCGGCTGGCGGCCAAGGAGGGCGGCACGCACGCCAACGACTGGCAGGTGGCCTTAGCGCGCGTGGCGGCCGACCGCTTCCGCCACCGCCTCGCCGCCGACCACTCCCTCGTGCACCAGCTCTGCCAGGTGACCACTCCCTCGTGCACCAGCTCTGCCAGGTGGGGGGGAGGAGGGGGCAGGTTTTGGAGGGGGGGAACAGGGTGACCACTCCCCTCGTGCACCAGCTGTGCCAGGTGACCACTCCCTCGTGCACCAGCTCTGCCAGGTGACCACTCCCTCGTGCACCAGCTCTGCCAGGTGACCACTCCCTCGTGCACCAGCTCTGCCAGGTGACCACTCCCTCGTGCACCAGCTCTGCCAGGTGGGGGGGAGGAGGGGGCAGGTTTTGGAGGGGGGGAACAGGGTGACCACTCCCCTCGTGCACCAGCTGTGCCAGGTGGGGGAGGAGAAGGGAGGGAGGTGTTGGCCAGGGGTGGAGAGCTGCACGTGGATGGGAATGGTAGCGCTGGCGGGGGTGTATTAGTACCTAGCTGCTGTTTGCATGCTGGTGACGCTCGTGGCACTGCATCTGCCTCTCGCCCACTCATTCCTCCTGTGCTCTGCTAATCTGCTCTGCCACGCTGCTCTCCCGTGCTCTCTTGTGCGGTGCTGTGCGGTGCAGGCGGCAGCAGAGGCAGCAGGAGGAGCAAGAGGAGGTCACAGCAGCAGTGGGAGCAGCGATGAAGTCAGATCACTTAAGGTAAGAAGAGCAGTCAACGTTAACGGAAACTTACACAAATGGGGCCGTATCTCTCTCCCTCTTGCTCCGTGCCCTCTCCCTTTACCAACCCACAACCCACCCCACCTCTCCCCAATCGGTTCCTATCCCTCCCCCACATTCCCCTGCTCCCACCCTCCCCGTCCCCCCCCCCCCCTTAGATGCTATTGGAGGGCGCCAACTCAAGTGTGCAAACAGTGGACGTGGCAGCAGCAGCCACCTCTTCCCAATCGGCTCCTCCTATCCCTCCCCCCATTCCCCTGGCACCCCCCCTCAGATGCTACTGGAGGGCGCCAACTCGCGGGTGCAGACAGCGGACGCGGCGGCGGCAGCAGCCAAGGACCGAATCGACTTCTTCTTCCGCCAGGTCACGGCGCTCAAGGCGCGCGAGGAGGCGGCGCGCAAGCAGGCGCGCGTGGCGGAGCGCCGAGTGGAGGCGCTGCTGCGGGAACTCGACGAGCAGCGCCGCCGCGCCGCCGAGGACGCGGACCGGCAGGCCGAGGAGCGGCGCCGCGACGTGCAGACCGGGCGCGTGCAGGCGCTGACCGCGGAGGAGGCGGGGGAGCTGGTGGGGCGCGTGGTGGAGCTGGAGGGGCTGCTGTCTCAGACGCGCGCCGCCCTGCAGGCCGCCACGGACCGCAACGAGTTCTTCCTGCGCCAGCTCAGCGCCATCCGCGAGAGCGAGAAGAAGTCGCGCACGTCCGCGCGCGCAGCAGACCGGCGGTACTTTGCGATCCTGCGGCGCGTGGAGGAGCTGGGGCGCAAGGAGGCATCGGCGAAGCAGGTGGCGGAGGAGGCGCAGCGGCGGTACGAGAGCATGGCGTCAGAGCTGCAGGGGCTGGGGTCGGTGGGCGACATCAAGGAGCGGCTGGAGGAGCTCAACAGCAAGGTGGCGGAGCTCAAGCGCAAGGAGGCGCAGGCCGAGGCCGCCACTCGCGCCGCGCTTGAGAGAGTGGCAGTTCTCTCAGAGCAGCTGGAGGAGGCGGCGGCGCGCGAGGCGGAGATCAGGGACAGCGAGAGGAGCGCGCGCGAGCGGGCGGATGCACTGGAGGTGAGGGTGGACGCGCTGGTGAGCGACCTGCAGGCCGCCAAGGCCGCAGCAGCGACGGCGGAGCGGTCGGTGGGGGAGATCTCCAAGGAGGTGGCCAAGCTGAGGGAGAGAGAAGCCGCGGCGGACGAGGCGATCCGGCGGTACGAGGCGGTGAGCGGGCAGGTGGGGGCGCTGCAGGCGCGGGACGCGGGCACGCGGCAGGAGATCGACGCGGCGAACCGGCGCATCGGAGTGCTGTCGGAGCAGATCGTGAACCTGACCCGGCGCGAGACGGAGCTGCAGGAGGCGCTGCAGACGGCGAACGACCACATCTCGTTCCTCTCCACGCGCGTGTCGGAGCTGATCGAGCGCGAGGAGGAGGCCAAGGCGCAGGCGCAGCGGGCGGACGCGCGCGTGGCGGAGCTGCACAGCGAGGTGGCGGCCGTGCAGCAGCGCGAGGCCGTGGCGGTGAGGGAAGCCGAGGCGGCGAGTCGCAAGCTGGCGCTGGTGGAGGAGAGCGAGGCGGCGGCGGTGGAGGCGGCCATGCGCGCCAATGCGCGCGTGGAGGAGCTGTTCCGGCAGGTGGAGGACGTGGAGCAGCGCGAGGCGGCCGCCAAGGCGGCTGCCAAGGCGGCGTATGAGCGGCTGGCGGAGATGAGCGAACGGCTGGCTGCGGCTGAGGAGAGGAGTGCTGCGGCGGAGAGAGGCAGAGGGGGGGCTGGGCAGGGGAGGGACAGTGCGGCGCCATGGGATGCTGCGGTGGTGTTTGACTCTCGCACTGCTGAACCCGTGCCCGTGAGTGCCTGGTGGCGTTGCATGGTTTCATGCCCATGCCCATTTGCATTGGCCCATGGCCACTAGCCCATGTTCATGCACCATGACCACCTGCCTGTCAAACTCCCACCGGCCCCAACACTCACTCCCTACTCCCCACCCCTTTGCAGGTGCGGTCATCGCCGTCATCAACCTCATCTGTGAACGGCACGGCCCTGCCGCCCTCCTCCTTCATCGCCCAGCAGCTCTCCCCACCCACCGCCACCCCCGCCTCCCCACCCCACACGCCGCAAGAGCGGGAGGAGCAGAGGCGAGTGGAGGAGGAGGTGGAGGAGACGCGGAGGGCGCTGGGGGCGATGGTGGACGAGTGTGTGGGGCTGTTCCTGGGCCAGGTGGCGGCGCTGCGCGAGCGCGAGCAGGCGTCGAAGCAGGCCCTGGCGGCGGCGAACCAGCGCATCGAGGAGCTGAGCACGCAGGTGGCTCTGCTGGCCGCCCGTGAGGACGCCGCCAACGCCGAGGCCGAGGCGTTCGCTGGCCAGGTGGGCGAGGGGTGGGGCAGGAGGAGGGGCATGTGGAGGGGAGTGGAGATGAATGGAGTGCGGTGTTCTTTGGAACAGATGGGGGGGAGGAGCTGCTTTTATAGTTGATGAATCCTGTGCGTGCCTCCTCCGCTTGCTCCGCGTCCCTCTCTGCTCGTTCAACGTGCCTTGCTCCGCTGCTGGCTGTGCCCTCCCTGCGGTGTGTCTCCCGTGCCCACAGGTGACGGGGCTGGTGATGCGCATAGCGGATCTGAACGAGGAGCTGGAGGCGGCGGAGAGGAGGGAGGCGGAGCTGGCTGACGCCCTCACTGCTGGCGGGTCGGGAGGCGGGCTGCCAGGCCTGCTCAAGTGAGTGTCGTGCTGCTGCAGGAGGGTGGCGCAGTGGGGGATGCCACTGGGATCATGGATTGCATGCCTGTGTGTACATGCATGGTTGCACGGTTCACCTGCATGGGATTGCATGCATAGGACCACATTCATTGTGAACTTGGGTTTTTCTCTTTATGATCCCTGCACCTCAAAGCCCCACCCTTTCTCCATCCTTCCCTCTCCACCACCACTTCCTAAACTCCACCCCCTGTCCCCTTGACCGGAGCAGGCAGGACCCACAGAAGCTGATAGCGGAGCTGGAGGCGGCGCGGCGGCGGGCGGATGAGCTGGCAGCGGAGGTGGAGGAGGCACGGCGCACAGCGGAGGACATCAGTGAGAGCATCTTCAACGCGCGCAAGAAGTCCCTGCAGGAACAGCAGGTGCGTTTACTTGCGCTGGCAGCAACAGGCAGGGGTAGGAGGTGCAAAGAGAGTGCTGCTCTTTTGGGTAGTCTTGGAGGGTTGGGGAATCAGCGTGCTAATAGTGGTGGTTTTCCTTTTTTACCAGCCTCATCCGTCCCACCTTCTCATGCTTTCTTCACTGCTTTGTGCCTTAACCCTCTTCGCCCCTGGCACATGCTGCCCTCCTGTGTCTGTCGCTCATGCCCGCTGGTCGCGTGTGTGTGTGGCAGCAACGGGAGGAGCTGGTGGCGGAGGTGCTGTCGCTGAAGGAGGCGATGGAGGCGATGAGGGAGAGGGACGAGGCCATCGCCGTGTGGAAGCAGCAGCTCGCAGAGCAAGCAGAGTACCTCGACTCGCTCATGGTGAGTACCTCGACTCGCTCATGGTGAGTACCTCGACTCGCTCATGGTGAGTACCTCGACTCGCTCATGGTGAGTACCTCGACTCGCTCATGGTGAGTACCTCGACTCGCTCATGGTGAGTACCTCGACTCGCTCATGGTGAGTACCTCGACTCGCTCATGGTGAGTACCTCGACTCGCTCATGGTGAGTACCTCGACTCGCTCATGGTGAGTACCTCGACTCGCTCATGGTGAGTACCTCGACTCGCTCATGGTGAGTACCTCGACTCGCTCATGGTGAGTACCTCGACTCGCTCATGGTGTGAGTACCTCGACTCGCTCATGGTGAGTACCTCGACTCGCTCATGGTGAGTACCTCGACTCGCTCATGGTGAGTACCTCGACTCGCTCATGGTGAGTACCTCGACTCGCTCATGGTGAGTACCTCGACTCGCTCATGGTGAGTGCGCCTCACAGACACTGCCTCAGTACGCAACATGTTCAGCGTTTACATCATTCTCATAACATCCTCCCTTTGCTCTGCTTTGCGCTTCGTGTGTGTGTGATTGGGAGCAGGCGGAGGGGCAGGTGGACCAATCTCAGCGGGACATGTTGCGGGCAGCAGTGAGGGAGATTCAGTTAGGATCTGGTGACCAGGCATTCTCTGCTGTGTGATACTGAGCAGTCTGCGGTCCCGTGAGCATGGTAATAGCCAGCTCCCTTATTCTTGCTGCAATGGCAAATGTCACAAGAGAAAACACAAGAGCCATGATTAGTATGGGGGGAACACAGCCCCCAGCTGGCAGAATAGTCTGTATGTCTTGTGAATTGAACTGTACTTACCTACTTTTTCAATGTAGAGGGGGAGAAGAGAATGCAACAATGGAACATGGAATGTGCTCAGGAACATCACATATTGATAATCCTAAGAATATGCTCTGTCATGGGCTCTCTTGGCATGTTTTTTCTGTGTACACTCTATGGACTGCTACTGACAAGTGTTTGAGCCACCTCAGTGCTATTATGAAGATTGGAGTGGTTGTAGTTCAGCTCAGCTTGCCTAGAATGCATGGGTAACGTGTTTCCAATGATGTAGCTCTTGGTGAAACGTTGCAAAGGAGAGGGTAGAACTTGCATTATAATCTAATGTAACAAACAGATATGCACAAGCCAGCGGTTACTTGTGCAAGCTGTCCAGGATGTATTGGCCATACAAATCCCTGTGTAATGAAACAAAGAAGTCAAGGCAGGAAACAAAACGATACTAGAATTAGCAGAGTCTGGAAAGCTAGTTAACGTGACGGAAAGTTGAGGGAGGGGGGAATTGCAGGGGAACGAGGATGAAACGAGGGAGACAGAGAAAGGGGGGGAGATAAAGAGAGAGAGGCTGAGCGGGTAAGGGGAGGACAGGGAGGAAGAGGGATGGAGTAAGGGGGTTTGAATATGCAAAGGCTTGAAATTGAAAGGAACGTAGAGAGGTGCTCGGAAGGGGAAGCATGGGAAGCAGAAGCAGTTTGTCAAAAGAGACTATCAGCAGCCAAGGTTGTCAAACTCAAACACGAATGAGTTTTGAGAACATGTTGCAGGGTAAGGAACGCTGCTGATGAGCTTACATGGATTTCTTCACAGCTTCAATGGCCTCCGTGGCGCCGAGGAAAGTGTTGACTGCGACTTCCTTATTCTCGTTCTTCTTGTAGTCCTCAAAGAAACGCTTGATCTCTTGCAGTCTGTGCCTCGGAAGCTCGTCAATAGACTTGAAGTGCTTGTACTCTGGGTCGTCGGCGCACACAGCAATGATCTTGTCGTCCATCTCTCCCTGAATTGAAGGCACGTGTCAGCTCGTCAATCTCGTGGTAGGATACGGAATGCAATCACACAAGTTCCGTCACAATACGAAAAAGACCACTAACCTGATCAATCATAGGCATAAGCCCAATGGCCCTGGCGCGAAGGAAGCATCCAGGAATCACTGGCTCCTGTTGGAATGAAAAGAGGGATACAAAAGTTATCCAATCAAGGTCAATCCTTATGAAAACACCCCCATGTCCTATTTGGATTCACGCCTGGTATCAGATTCGCGATATATTTATCCGTTTCGAGCATAATATGTGATTCCGGGTGAGTGTTTCATGGGTCAAGTTGGAACTGCCTACTCATCGACCGATGCATACCTGCATCAAGACGAGGACATCCATTGGGTCGTTGTCGTCGCAGAGAGTCCTCGGGATGAACCCATAGTTGTGAGGGTACACCACCGAAGAGTAAAGAATCCGGTCGACCTGCAAAAAATGATGGAACAGATATGAATTGAAGAAGATGACACAAGATAACAAAAGAGTGAGGGAAAAAAGAGTGAGGCCGTACTTGGATCTCTAGGAACTTAGATCTGACGGAACAAGCAAGCGTACCTTGATAAGGCCGGACTTCTTGTCGAGCTCGTACTTGACTTTGCTTCCCTTAGAGATTTCTACGACAACGTTGAAGATAGTAGGAGCTTCTGGACCTGGAGAATACGATGCGATCGGGCAAAAATGTCAGTACCCGAACTTGACCAGCAGCTTCTGGGCCTGGAAGATAGTATACGATCGGCCAAGCTTGCTACTAAAGCAGTCCGTACCAATTTCCAAGTCGTGCCACGGATGAGCCGCAACAGTGCGTTGGTTCGCCATGATTTTGCGTGATTCTGGAGCTAAACCACAGACTACTGGAGCTGAATCCACAGGCTAGAGAGGTGGCTTGAGAGGAACTTGAGGTGGGACAGTTCAGTAAGATCGATGCAGCTTGAAGGTGGGTTGATCATATGTAGATTGTCAAGGCCCCAACTGGTCCCACATTCTCAACCAACAGCATCTGCGATTCGTCGGAAAATGCCTGGTCAGCCTATCGAGGAGGGCACTGGCAACCAAGCTTGTTTGGTTGCTGACAACACCAAGGTTGACCGCGGGCGCGGGGAGTCCCAGGTTGTGTGGACCGCACACGTGGCATTCGCCATCGACTCTATGTGGTGATCCCTATACGAAGCGACACCACCAAATCGCTGCAAGGCATTTGTTGTGCGAAAGTCTGTCAGAAAGGACGAACTCTTTCGGTGATTCGATGTTTCTACGCTCCAAGAAACCATCGTACACCAATCATTTCAGAACAACAATCAATAACATACTTGAGCATGCTTATTAGTGAAGAGAACTCTCGAGATAGGTCCTCAAAGCCTTCTTCATCTCCCCATGCCTCTGCTATGCGCATCTCTTCTGTCAGAAGCTCGACCTGGATGATTCAAGAGAAGCATGAATTGGCATCAGTTGGGGTGGTATGGTAATTGCGTTGTCTTCATAACTAGTGTGACACTAGCTTTGCCATTGACTCTAGCATTCTCACCTGTGCATCTGACATTCGCTGCTGTGTTGCCGAAAACAGCATCATATTTCTCGGTGCTGGCCCATCAGACCCTTCCAAATGATCTAGGAGATGGCGGGATGTGGGGCACTGTTGAGCATACAGGGCAGCGATTGAGGCAATTGAGTGCACTTCAGCCAGAAGCCCATGAGAGGCATACAGGGAGGAGAGAGCAGCGACAGCAACCGAAGAGTCCTCTCGTGAGTCTATTGCAGCACCACCAACAGCCGCCTGGGGAGCGATGGCCTGCAAGGGCAGCTCCCCAAATACTTGGCAGCCTCCCATGAGCAGCCCCTGCAAGTGACCCAGAATGGTCTTCAGGCCTGACGGTGACAGGTGGGGCAGCCCCTGGAAGGGGAAAAGGTAGGGGAGGTATGGGTGAGACGAACAGGCACAAGGAAATGTGGACAGCTCATGGGGGGGAAGCCATGCGCTCTGTTGCAGAAGCTTTGGACCGCACCTGCAACACCCACAGGCTGGGCCTGTCTCCTCTGTATCCGAGCCTCTGCAGCTTTTCGCCCCAACCTTCGTCTCGCCAGTCCTCTCCGGTGGACAGGTCCGCTGACACGTGGCGTACCACCGATCCACAGGCTGGCCGTGCTCCAGCCTCTGATAGAAAGTGAGCAAAGGAGACAGAATGGAATTCATTCATAACGCAAGTGCTGGGAATGAAGTCTAGAGCGGAACGGCAGGATGGGCAAGGCAGGCGTGAGTGCAGGTGGCTCACCGAGGAGGAGGTTGTGGCAGGCGGTGTAAGGCGCAGCAGGCGACACGTCAAACACCACCATGGGGCGCGGCCACGCCACGCGGTATGGGCGCGTGTCACACCCATCCGTTAGAAGAACAACCTGCAATGGTGCCACCATTTCAATCAGAGCCAGTAAAGCAGTATCGGAGTGTGAGGTCAGAGCGTGGCATGCCATGACAGCGAGCAGCAGCCACGTGACGCTACCTGGCGGACCTCCTCTGTGCCGCCCACCAGCTGCGCCACCGCCTCTTCAATCGCGTCGTCCAGGAACCGCGTCGCCACCAAATACGACGCCGCCTCCCCCGCCGCCTCCTCCGCATCATCCCCCACATCCCCTTGTCCCCCCGCTTCTCTCTGTGGCTCTGATCGCTCCGCCGCGGTCAGCAAACCAGCGTAAGGGTCGACCAGAAGCGCGCCTGGTGGGCGACAGCCGGGGGAATCGGAAAGGGCAAGAACAAGTCACGCGAAAGGGGAAAACAGGTGTGTGGCAAATGTGGGCTAGAGCAGAGCAATATCTGAGGGGAGCGAATGGATACCCAGCACCCTACCATCTCGACCGCTCTCTACGCTCCGCCAATACGCCGCGCGCTCTTCCGTGCGATCCCGGGTGGAGAAAAAACTCCCGTTACTTGCCGACGGCACATTGGGGGGTCGTAAGCGCGCAAGCCGGCTGGGAGGCGGCGTCTGACTGCATAGGCTGAAAAGTATGGCGCGACAATGTCTTCCGCTCGTGTCGACATGGGATCTGTGCGATAACGAAGACTGGCCTAACTGATCGGCTGCTATGGCTTTCCGCGCCACCTGCCATGAGTGCAGTTGACGTGTGGGGATTGGTGAGGTGAACATGGGGCCAGGGGGATGTACGAAAGGGAGGGGCTGGAAGCCCGCAACACAGAAGACGAACATTGCTCCCTCGTAGATTGAACCCGTTACAAGTCGACTCTGCATCTCAGGATAAATTTTGAAGCTCGAATATGTAATGTTAAGACGATATATGTTTGAACAACTTCCGCCAGAATAATAACTTCTCGTCACTAAGACTCCCAACCTCCCCTGGCTTGCGGCACTCACCTGGCTAAGCAACACCCTTTAGCCCCCTTTCGCGTGGTGGCGTTTAGTGGGTTTTCTGTTGCTACGTAAACAATGAATACACTAAAGCGTTCTGCTTACTGAGTGGGCCGGTACTTTTCGCGACCTCACCTGATGAGTTCTCCCCAACCCTGATGGCGCCAGACCCGTTTCCCGCATCCCGCGCAGATTACAGAAAGTTTTGCGACAACATTTCTCGCTGGCCATTCATCACCTGCCACCTGCTTTGGACCACCGCCTGCCGCCAACACCGCTGCCTCAACCAACCGAAACCCAATTCCAACCTGACGGGTCCGCATGTTTCCCAAATTCCCACCCCCTCGCGAGCAAACATCGAGGCGCGCTGATTTTGGAAGCAAGTGCCAGCCCCCTCGCCGAAGCGCAGCTGCGCTCAGTGTGTCGTGGCGTGCAGCGGCGAGGCGAAAGACAAATCACGCGCCAAGCCAAACTCCAAGGCCGTTTGTGGGGAGAGTCATCCCTTGCTCCGTGAGACTTCGCAACCAAGCCGAACCGACACATGCACCGACTCATCGGCCCTCCCACACACACACATATTCCATATCCGCCTTTCATTACATTCCAGACTCATCCGCATCAGAAACACCACAGATTCATCAACGCACAAGCCGCTCGTCAGCTTTAGTATTTCCAGCAGGATCGCACGGAACCAGAGGCGCATTTGATTGTGCAGGCATGGCGCGCGGGGAAGCGTGGGGCGGGGCGACGACGCTCAAGCAGGCAGCCACCATTAACTCTCTGCCTCCCGAATGGCTGCCTTTCGTCGAACACGACGCCCATTGGCCAGCCGCCTTGCGCCAAAACGCGTCCGCCATCGAGCTGCAGTTCAAGTCCTCGCGCGCGCAGGTCCCGCAGGTGACCGCCGCGAAGAATCGCGATGGTGGTAACCATCGCGACGACGCGTCAGTTGACGTTTTTTCGCAGTCGTCAGGGCTGTCGGAAGACGAGATCGCGATCGCGGCGCACATGGCGAGGATGGTTCAAACAGACGTCTCTTCCGCTCGCAACCACGCTCACGCCTCTGCTTCTCAATCCGGACCGTTCTTCCATTTCCTCGACTGCCCCTCCCGGAACGGATCTCAGCCGTCCGTTGGAGCACCGTCGCCCCCGCGGCTGGAGTCGATCGACTCCTTTAAGAGCCTCGCGGACCTGGCGGTGCGCTCCGCGTTCTCCCCGTACGGCTCCGCCTCCCCCGCGAGCTCGGAGCACGCGGGTGCTGCGGTCGCGCTGTCGCGATCGTCCTCCGAAATGGACGGCTGCGATTTAAGCTTGTCGCTGGGCAGTCCGTCCGTCCTTGGCGCAGCGGCGGAGGCGGAGAGGGCATGGGCGAGCACTGCGGAGGTGTGGGGCGCGGAGGTATCGATGGAGCAGTCGGGGGAGAGCGGGCAGGGGGGGTACATGGGGGTCGGTGGAATGCTGCAAGCCAACAGCGGCTGCGCCAACGGCTGGTTGCTCCGCATGCCTGCTGGAATGGGGCGTGCGGGCGTAATGTGATGATAATCAGCCTGCTACGGCGGATAGGATGTTTCCTGTGCTGCGATGTAGTTAGGCTAGGTCATGGCTTGGTGATCCGCGATGTATAGTAGGCTTTGTATATTAATGATTTGCGATTGTTCCCTGTTACGTATGTGCACAGAAGCGAGTGAATGCAGTAATGCAAACCAACGAGAAACTGCCATGGAAGGTGTGAGCAGGAGGAAAAGGCTACCTAGTTTCCAGCCCATGGACTTGGGTTTCATTAGACTTGGGTTGCACATGGACCTCCTCGGCCCGGTAACTGATGATGCCTTCCAGCAAAGCGGGTGGATGTGCCATCAGACAATGAACCAGGGGATACGCTGGGGGGACCCTTCATTAGTTGCAAAAATAGCTATTTTTGTTGTTGTACCGTACAATGAAATGTTCAGAGTACATTGGCTCTTCCACCATTGATCAGTCACCACCTTACGGAATGGAGGCACCCCAACATGATTATGCCTTCACACAGCCCAGGGTTTAGGGTGCCTATCAACTCTCCATTGTTGCTCAGTTGCTGTATATTACTCCATGAGGAACATAGCAGGGAGCATTCACATTCCAAATGGCCTCCATGCGAATAGTCCCTCCTTCATTGCGTGCACCGAGACAACCACTCATTATGCCGCTGCTGCACCCAATGCCACCAGGCTTGCCCTTCATCCCAGCGCAGCACCCACACCCAGGGGGTCTGTCTGTCTGCCCCATCCAATCCCACAAACATCCCTTCTCCCTCCTCTTCTAGGCATATTTCTCCTGTTCCTCGTCACTTCTGCACGTACAGCTCCTGCTTGGCCACCAGGTACGACCCCGACGCCTCCCCCGGCTCGATCACAAACAGCTCGATGAAGCTGCCCAGCTTCTTCCCATGCCCCTTGTACCCCGTCGCCCCGCCGCTCGTGATGCCCTCCACCTGCGTGCCGGGCGGCGGGATGAACTGCCGCCCCACCACCAGCGCGCCCGACACGCGCACCATGACGCCGCGGCGCCCGTACGCGCAGCACTCGAGGTTCTCGACGGTGTGCACGAGGCGCTCCGACTTGGCCTCGCCCAGCATCATCGTGCGGATGGACGTCAGCGTCGCGAATATCTGCTCTCCCCCCGTGTACACCCGGTGCCCAAACCTGCAAGGGCGAGAGGACGAGAGGGTAGGGTGGGTGGGAGAGAAGAGATAGGGGAGGGGAGTGGTGGGTGTTGGAGGAGAAAGAGAGGGGTAGGAGAGGGTTGTGTGGGTAGTGCCAGGTGGAATGGATCGGGTGGTGGCAGTGAGTGGCACGGAGCAGAGACAAGTTGAATGCTGATGCAAGGTGCGCCTTCATGCTGATGCAAGGTGCGCCTTCATGCTGTGAAGCTACACGCATGTGCACGCCCCTGGCATGAATGAGACGCCACGCCCCACAGCACACGTACATGAGGGTGGCGTCGGGCTTGTAGAAGCTCTCTATGTGCGGCCACATCTTGTCGGGCCCGTCAAACAGCATGTAGTAATGCACCATCAGCATCTGTGCACCGCACACACACAGTCACACACACCCCGCATTAGCATTCACAAACTGTGTCTACACGAAAGCAGGAAGGATGTAGAGGAGAGAGAAAGCGGAAGATTGAGAGCAGTTGGTGGAGTGGCAGTGCATGCAGAGGTGCTTGAGGCAGCGGCAGTGACGCACATTGGAGAGGTCTTTGAGGCGCTCGGTGGGGTTGACCACGTTCTGAATGTACCCCGCTAGGTCCACGTCCTCGTCCGCATGCTTGGTTATGAAGGGATGCTGCAGCAGCTGCTCTCGCCCACAGAGAAGGGGAGAAGACGAGGAGAGGGGGCAAGGGGAAGGAGAGGGAGGAGTGTGTGGTGTGACGGATAGTTGCTTGGGTGGCTGTGGGTGGGAGATAGAGCAGTGCACGAAGCAGGAAAGTAAAGCAGAAGGTATTGCGTCCAATAATAAGCAGACAAGCCGCCTCAATGTCACACACGTATTCCTCTTGCCTTGTTCACAAAAGAGCCCCATGAACACTGCACGGCACATCTCACAGTCTCAGCTGTGGGGCATTGGAACAGCTCTTACTTTCCCTCACCCCTGCAGTGCAGCACTCACAACTTCAGCGGTGGGGCGCTGGAAGGGGTCCTTCTCAAGGCTGTCGTTGACAAACGACTGGAACTCCGCTGAATACCCGGGCGGCAGCGTGGGCGCCGGGTCCTCCATCACCTGCCATGGCACCCGGGCCGTGGGGGGAGAGGGGAGGGATGGGTTGGGATTGAGGTGGGGGTCAGGGGGTTCAATCATGAGGGGCAGGAGCGGAACCGTGGAGGAACAAGGCGGCGTGTGGGAGGGATGGGCGGTGGTAGTGAGAAGAGGTATGGAAGACGAGGGGAGGGAGTGGCGTGAGGGGGAGAATGAGAAAAACACGGGGGGTGGATATCAGCGAGGTGCTACCTGCAGCATGAGGTTGATGGGCCCTTTATCAGCCGTGTAGGGGAAGGTGCTACCTGCAGCATGAGGTTGATGGGCCCTTTATCAGCCGTGTAGGGGAAGGTGCTACCTGCAGCATGAGGTTGATGGGCCCTTTATCAGCCGTGTAGGGGAAGGTGCTACCTGCAGCATGAGGTTGATGGGCCCTTTATCAGCCGTGTAGGGGAAGGTGCTACCTGCAGCATGAGGTTGATGGGCCCTTTATCAGCCGTGTAGGGGAAGGTGCTACCTGCAGCATGAGGTTGATGGGCCCTTTATCAGCCGTGTAGGGGAAGGTGCTACCTGCAGCATGAGGTTGATGGGCCCTTTATCAGCCGTGTAGGGGAAGGTGCTACCTGCAGCATGAGGTTGATGGGCCCTTTATCAGCCGTGTAGGGGAAGGTGCTACCTGCAGCATGAGGTTGATGGGCCCTTTATCAGCCGTGTAGGGGAAGGTGCTACCTGCAGCATGAGGTTGATGGGCCCTTTATCAGCCGTGTAGGGGAAGGTGCTACCTGCAGCATGAGGTTGATGGGCCCTTTATCAGCCGTGTAGGGGAAGGTGCTACCTGCAGCATGAGGTTGATGGGCCCTTTATCAGCCGTGTAGGGGAAGGTGCTACCTGCAGCATGAGGTTGATGGGCCCTTTATCAGCCGTGTAGGGGAAGGTGCTACCTGCAGCATGAGGTTGATGGGCCCTTTATCAGCCGTGTATGGGAAGGTGCCGGTGCCGCACTCCAGCAGCGCGAGGCCGAGGCTCCAGATGTCAGCGGGGAAGGAGTAGTTCTGATTGGCTATGCGCTCCGGTGACATGTACGTCACTGTTCCCACGAACGTTGCACACTGTGGTGGCCGGAGGGGGAAGGGAGGGTGGGGTCGGGAATGGCGCAATTAAAGAGAGGAGGCGGATTAACGGAAGAGAGAGGAGTGGTGGAGGGGGTGTTGGAGAAAGAGGACGGAGGGATGAGCGGGCTGATGGAGGAGAGGGCGATGGTGGAGTGGACACAGCAGCACATGAAGGAGAGAGCAGGACGGGAGAGGGCAGCAGGGGTGAGCGGGGTACCATGGCGAGGGAGTGGTCGAGACCGGTGCTGATACCAAAGTCGGTGATCTTGGGCACGCCGTTCAGGTTGAGCAGCAGGTTGGCGGGCTTGATGTCGCGGTGCACCATGCGCCGGTCCGTGTGCAGGAACTGCATGCCCTGCAGCACGCGCCGCGTGATGGCGGACAGCACGTTCTCAGGGATGGTCTTGGTGACCTGCACCACGTCGGCGAGGGAGCCGCCGTCCATGTACTCGAGGGCGATGTTGATCTGCCCGCTGTCGGGCTGGTAGAAGGCGCCGTAGAACTCCACCAGCCCCGGCGCTGCCGGCGCCTCGCACAGCGTGCGGATCTCGTTCAGCAGCTGGTGCCGCTTGTCCTGCTCGCGCAGGGGGCGGGGGGGAGGGGAGTGGGGAGGGGAAGGGGAGGCGGGAGTGTGTGGGTAGGGGGGGGAGGGGGAGAGGGAGGACGGAATGGGGGAAGTGAAGGGGAGTGGAGGTAATGAAGGGGGGATGGCGGATGGTTGTGGTGATGGCGATGGTGGAGTGAAGGATGCGAAGAGGAATTGAGAACGGGGAGGAGGGGAGCGGGAGCGGCGAGGAGGAGGGCGCGCGAGCACGGAGAGCTGACCTTTTCAAAGACGTTGACTTTTTTTAGGGCGAGCAGGCGGTGCGTGGGTATGTGTATGGCTTTACACACAACGCTGCTCGCCCCCGAACCGATGGCGCCGAACACGAGCATCTCGTTAGAAGCACAGCGGTACGTCTTCTCGCCGCCCGCGCTGCTGTCCTCTGAGTGCTGCCCCTCCTTGTTCACCTGCAACCCCTGCTCGCTGATCGCGTACTCGTTAAAAGACTGACTCATTAGGTTGATGTGCCCTTCCTCGCTGACCTGCCCCGGGGACGCACGGATGGAAATGGAATCGGGATTGGCGTAGTGAGTACTGGATAAGTGAAGCCTTGATTGCTCGACAGGTGACGCCTCGAGTACAAGAGAAGTGACGTCTCAAAGCTCGATCTACGCGTGCTGCGGAATGCATAACACAGAAGCACGTAGAGGGGGAGGGGAAATGTCAACGAGCGATAGTCGCACCCGCGACGCAGAATGGCACCGTGGCAACCAGGAATTGATTGTGGAAGAAAAACGAAATGACAAGAAGCAGATTGTGCGACACGGCTTCCGGCATTCACGGCCACACCTCACTTGTAACGGGTATCGAGTTCACCTTATACGACGCGTACGGGTCGTTGGCCATGGCGGGCATTTCCCCCACGCCGCCCGAGTCAGGCGCGCGCACGCCGCCGCCCGTCTGCAGCGGCAGCAGCTTCTTCTTCATCTTCGCCAGCCCTGCCATCGCGCCGTCTCACTCGCGCACCGTAATACGAAGCTTTTAGCTTTCTAAGAAAACAAACGGTTTTCTAACACGTCGTACGATCGCTCCTAGCCTTTCGCAATGCGATTATGTGCGTCCTGCAAGCGCCTAAATACCCACGACACGCGACGCGCAGATACGAGCGATTCGCTGCTGCGAGGCACCACCAGGTCGCTCGACGAGCTCGCAAAGCGGCCCGCCAATTCCGCAAACTCGGTTAAGCGGCGTCCTAGGTTCGAGGGTCACGAGCGTCACGCAGCTCTGGGTGCGCGTTTCGAGCGCCTCAGGCAGGCAGGGTCAGGCAGCTCTAGCGGCTCGCCGGGCGACGGCATTCTCTAGAACGGCGCGCGCATCTCCTCACCCGCTCGCACGGGCCTCTCGCTCCCCTCGCTGCACGGCTTCCGGTGCACGCAAGATGAAACCTTTCGGGCGAATTATTGTTGCACAGGCAATCAAGGGTTGTCGTGACCTAATCGGTTTTTAGGACGAGCAGGAAGTAAGATTCATTCGTTATGGCTCCCTGTGACTGATAACATCCAGGTTAGGGCAGAAAACTGGGAGCAGCACGAAAAAGGAGGTGAGCATGTCATGGTCATGGTAGAAACGACGAGTGAGGACGGAAGCTAGGAGGGGAAGGGGAGGCACCAGCGCACAGGTTGGCGCTGCTGCTACAGCGTAGAAGGGGTGGTGAGGGTTGAGGTGGGGTGGGGTGGGGAACGGTGATTTCTTCTCTCTTCCACCTGCCCGGCCACTTCTCCTTCGTGGGGGTGCGGGTGAGGTTGGCGCCGTTGTGGGCGGAGCATGATGCGCGCGCGTGTGGTGGATGGCTCGCTAGTTTCCAGGTCGCCTCGAATGTTCCGCGGCCACCCGTTACAGGCACCTCGAGAAAATGATGATTCTCAAGTGGCCGTACGATGTACACGCGCCTACCTTATGTTTAACGCCAGCCAAACCAGGTTTATAGTTCACAGCAATTCAAAATTCTTTCAATCATGTGTGTCCATATCCATAAATGGTGGTATTACATCATGACTCTCTTCATAATCTTTGCGCATACATTTTTACACTCCCATGCATTTTTTACATGAAAGAAGTTGCTTTTTCGAGTGAGAAGTTTCATTTCGCCTTTAGTCAATACTGTGCCACAATACCAGTTGCTATTCAGCTGGTTTAAAGACCAGCACGCCCCACTTGGGCAGGTTGACGAAGAGCTTGCCATGGTTCGGGGTCAGCTGCTTGCCAGCATTGCCAGACGTGGCCCACCCCCCGTACTCGGCATCTTGCGAGTTGAACACCTCTACATACGGCCGATCACCGCCGCCCACCCGAACGCCATAGTCGGCCTTCTCCCACTGGGCCTCGCCCGCATTCACCACCACCAGGAGTGCCTCGCTCTCGGTCTGTTCCGAAAGGTGGGGAGGTGAGTGACGGGGGATCACTGTTTTTAAGTTAAACTCGGGCCAGGCCCAACAGTACCTCGAGCAGTGCCTACTGAGAGAACAGTGCCTGAACGTCAAGCAACGCCTTGCATGGAGAGCAGGGCGAGTGCACCCACCTGGCGTCTGAACGCGATGACACAGTTGACCTCATCGTAGTGCACCGTCTCAAATGCCCCCCGCTGCAGCGCTGCACTCGCCGCCCGCAGCCCGTTGGCCGCCCGCACCAGCGCCTGCATCTGCTGCCCCACCATGTCCTCTGGGATGTGCCGCAGAGGGGCAGACGGGGAGAGGGGCGTGTGAGTGGCATGGGGCGACCGACGGGAGGAGTGTGCGGTCTGAAACAGGTGTGACCTGGTGAGGGGCAGCACTTGCAGGCATGCATGGGGAGGTGAGGTGGGCTTACCAGTGTACTGCCAGTCGAGCATGTCTCTGGGAGTGACCCCCCACCACCTGGGATGCATGGTCTCCGACCCCATGAACGTCATTGGTATGCCCTGTGCGCACACCTGGCGCAGCACAAGCACAGCATGCCATAGCACGTGCATGCAGCACGCAGATGAGGTGGAGGTGAGATGCATGATGATATTCGCCTTAACAAACTTTCCTGAAATCCTGGCTGAAGCGACTGCATCCCCTGCACTATCTATGTACTGCATTCGACGACCCTCAAGCCTAGAGTGCACTTGACTTGGATAAAAAGGCTCAGGGGAGTGGGTTGCAAGGTAGGGGAGGAAGTGGCACCTGGCAGGCGAACCACATGCGCACTTTGGCGCGCGCAGTCCAATCCTCACGGCCCCCAAACAGGTCCACTGCGTACCTGCCGCCCATGGGAGGGTGGGATGGTGGTGGTGGTGGAGCGGCCATGGGATGGCCTCAAGAGGTGAGACGAGAGGCCATGAGGAGACCGAAAGTGAGGGATTCGTGGTAGAGAGTAGAGCAGCACAACGCAGACTGGTCTGGGAGTTCTGCCATGCGAGAATGGTGACGACACCACATTGCACTGGCCATAAGCTTACCTCATACCTAAACAGATTCTCCACACACTGGGTAACCCTGTGTTTAGCGCCCCCACTTAGCGCCCCCACTACTTAGCGCCCCCACTACTTAGCACCCCCACTACTTAGCACCCCCACTGACTTAGCGCCCCCACTACTTAGCGCCCCCACTGACTTAGCGCCCTCACTTACTTAGCCCCCATACTTACTTTGCGGTGCAGGTTTGAGGTGCAGGTTTGAGGTGCAGGTTTGACGTGCAGGTTTTAGGTGCAGGTTTGAGGTGCAGGTTTGACGTGCAGGTTTGAGGTGCAGGTTTTAGGTGCAGGTTTGAGGTGCAGGTTTTAGGTGCAGGTTTGAGGTGCAGGTTTGATGTGCAGGTTTGAGCCCCACTTTTGCGCCCCCACTTAGCGCCCCCACTTAGCGCCCCCATTTCACCATGCCTATAGTACCCTATTTGTGACCGTACCTGTGGTAACCCTGTATGTCATCGTCATATCTGCCATCTCTGCGGCACCCGACCTGGTCGTGCGACCCCAGGAAGTACTTGACACACTGCCATCATTCACAACCGATTTTGGGGGTGTCGTGTTGGGACTTTGGGTTTGAGTGGAACCAATGGCATGAGTTCCAAGTGGAGACACGAGCAGTAGATCGCACAGATAAGATGAATGAAGATACGCTCAGACAGGCAACGGCAAACACAGCTGCGTGTGCATGCGTCTGTGTGCGCCCTCCAGCCGGCGCAGTCTCAAACTCGCCTGGCAAAGAGAGAAGGCAAGAGTGGCACACGACAGGCAGTGAGGGCAGGAGGGGCGTTGACCTGCGTTGACTTGGAGTAGCCGGGCAGCAGGGTGAGCAGCGCCTGCAGGCGGCCCAGGGGGCGGGGGCCATCGGAGAGCATGAAGGAGCGCATCTTGTAGAAGGACGTGTGCATCCACGTCGCGTCGTACCCCGCGTCTGACAGCACCTCCGGTACCTCGGGGGTGATCTCTGCACGTGCATGCATGTGCATGCATGGGTAAGGAGAGCAGGGATGGAGAGAGTTGAGTGGGTATGCACTGGGAATGGGGAACACGGGAGCATGCTGCAGCGCACTGGGGGGATCAGGTGCGAGTGCTGAGAAGTGGAGAGTGCAGGTGAGGAGTGCAGATGAGGAGTGCAGGCGAGGAGTGCAGGCGAGGAGTGCGTGTGGGAGCGGGTGAGGAGTGCGTGTGGGAGCAGGTGAGGAGTGCGTGCGTGGCAGCAGTGAGCCTTACCGGAGATGAGGATGCGGTGGGGGAACTCGCGGTGCAGGTGCCACGTGAGGCTCTGCGACACCTTCCACGGCATGGCGTGCACACAGTCAAACCGCAGCCCGTCGCCTGCGCGCCCATGGGGATGGGCGGGGGAGGGTGGGGGGAAGGAGGGTGGTGACAGCGAGGGACGGGAGGAGGGGACAACGGGGCGGAGAGGGGTATCTGGATCTTGGCACGCTGATGAAGGAGGAGAGGCGTGCAGAGGCGTGACAGGACCCATGAGGAGAGGACTGCTAGAGCGCAGGGGGTCTGCAGCACTTCCTCGCAAACCTAATACCTAGTAGCTTGCGGGCATTGCGTGCCAAGGCAAGGCATGGCAGTGCATGGGTGGGTGGGGAAGCAGGAGCGCACCGTTGTACTCGTGGAGGAAGAGGCGAGCGGCATCCAGCACCATGTCCTTCACCTCCTGCTGCCACCACGCGAAGGTCTTGCCCCATGATGAGTCGCCGCCCCCGTCAAAGTACAGCCCTGATGGGCATGCGCGCACGGAGATGGGGGAAGGACATGGGGTGGAGAGATGCGAAGAGATCAAGGGGACATGGGAGCAAGTTGAATTGGGCGGATACTGGAAGCATGGGTGAGCAAGGGAGAAGCAGGGGGCGGTGATGTGGAAAGCGGGAAGCAATCCTAGTGGCGGATCGTGACATTGCGTGGGGCTGACGAGATCATTCACGCTCACCTCCCTTCTTGGTCGGTCCATCATACTCCCAGAGACTGCGAAGGAAGGAGAAGGGAAGAGGACAGGCACACACGCACGCACAAAGGCGAGTTAAGAGAGAGCAACTAAGGGAACAGGAGATTCACATGGGTTAGTACTTCTAGTAAAACCTAAACCGGAGAATGTTCCAGCAAGGGCTGTCAGCACCGGGAAACGTGAACCCTCGTCCCTTTCAAAATTGAGAAAACTGTGAAACGTGGAAAACGTATTCGCCCACAGTCCACCAGCCACAATCCAGCCTCCCCCATCCACCATCCAGCCATCCAGCCTCCCCATCCACCATCCAGCCTCCCCCATCCACCATCCAGCTTCCAGCATCCAGCATCCAAAACACCCCATCCAGGGTAGGCACGTGGCCCATGCAGCGCACCTGTTGAGGTTGGGCGCCAGATGGTGCAGCACCACGTCGAAGATGACCGCCATGCCTGCACACGCCGCATAGCACATGCCACATGGCACATGGGATGAGGCGCCATGGGATGATCGTATGGTTGGCATGGCATGGTGCGAGGAGGTACAGGAGTGGCACAGCATGTGGCATATGGTGGCTGAGGTATGGTGATCTTGCTACCCAGCTGCAGCCTCTCAATCTCCCCATGCCATTCACCATGCACCATCCACAATGCCAGTCACCACGCACCAGGGAGGTCACCATGCACCAGGGAGGTCACCATGCACCAGGGAGGTCACCATGCACCAGGGAGGTCACCATGCACCAGGGAGGTCACCATGCACCAGGGAGGTCACCATGCACCAGGGAGGTCACCATGCACCAGGGAGGTCACCATGCACCAGGGAGGTCACCATGCACCAGGGGGGTCACCATGCACCAGGGAGGTCACCATGCACCAGGGAGGTCACCATGCACCAGGGAGGTCACCATGCACCAGGGAGGTCACCATGCACCAGGGAGGTCACCATGCACCAGGGAGGTCACCATGCTGGGAGGTCACCATGCACCAGGGAGGTCACCATGCACCAGGGAGGTCACCATGCACCAGGGAGGTCACCATGCAGCACGGCAGTCCGCACCATGACAGCCAGCATGCACCATGCACCAGCGAGCCTCACCTTGGGAATGGGCGGCGTCAACCAGCTCTCGGAGCTCCAGGGGGGAGCCGTAGAAGGGGTGGGGGGCGAAGAGCAGGCGGGGGTTGTAGCCCCACTGCCCGCAGTACTCGTGCACTGGCAGCATCTGCACGCACCACACACGCACAGCGGGTACAAGTATTGTCCTTCGATATACAACCTCAGCATCCAGTCAGGCTCCGCACGTCCTATCATCCCCTGCTGCCCACCACCCCTGCTGCCCACCACCCCTGCTGCCCACCACCCACTGCCTCGCATGCCCTGAGCAACAGCTGACCTGAACGGCGTTGAACCCAAGGCTCTTGATGTACGGCAGCTTCTCCTTGAGCGCAGCGAACGTGCCGCCACCCGGCAGACGCCTGCACATGTCAGGCACGGAGCACGGGGCGTGGGGCACATAGTGTTACACACGCACGGTGTCATGGCTGATTCAATGTGCGCGCGCAGGTTCAGTGGACGAACAGAATCGCCATTGCTCGGCCACATACAGGCGTCTATCTCATAACATCACAACGACCATCAAGACATCCATACGTACATCCATGATTCATCCATCCACCATACGCCCATACAGACATCCATCATCTATCCTTCCACCCATGCCTCACCCGGTGAAAGCGCCAACGTGCAGCTGATAAATATTGAGGGCCTCGAACGGGGGCGGTTCAAAGGGGGTCCAGGAGAAGCGCGGGTCCACCACGATGCAGTCGTTGCTCTCGTAGTCCGTCGCGCGCGCCCTCGCGTCCCGCCTCTCCAGGATCTTTCCCTCCCACTCGAACACCAAGTGATACTTGTCGCCCTGGAGCACGAAGGGTGGAATAACGGCACTGGCAAGGCGCACGGAAAGTGCCAGAAGAAAGGCAGTAGCGCGGTAGCTGACGAGGAAGGAAGTTAATTCCGTGCGGGTGCTGAGATTGCAGTCCTTCACAGTCAAAAAGGAACGTTAGCCGCGTCCATACCGCCGCAATCATGACCATCATGTCCACGTCATGCAGCATGGGGCACTCACGGCAACAACGTTCGCAACTCGCGCGAACCACACGTTGCCGTCGCGCCCCATCTCCACCCTCTCGCCTTCTGCTGCCGCGCCTTCCGCGTCACCGCCACCAGCGCCAGCGCGGGCGGGCGAGAGGCGCTTGACGACTAATGTGGCGCGCTGAGGGTGCGGAGCCCACACGCGGAACACGCAGCCCCCGTGGTCGTCCAGCGTCGCGCCGAGCGCGGGGATTGACGCCTGCAGATCGGGAAGGATCGAATATGAAGTTACTCGTACTGTACGCGCGGTCATCTAGCGTTGCTCTGGTAGCAGGGCCATTTCCTGTACGCACAGCGATAGCGCAGGCGCACAGCGGGTTTTTCCTTCACGAGGGAACTCTACGAATGAGAGCGGCACGCAGGGAGGAAACGGGATTCATTGAGTCGTGTGGATGAAGGTCGAGAGGCACGTCGCTAGAAAAACTCGGAGAGTCTTGAGTACGGTAGCGCGTGGTAGTGCTGGTTACCAGAATCTCTTCATCTGTAGCTCCTGCTGTGCCGTTGCTGCTCGTGCGCGTCACTCCGTCCTGCACCACCCCGTCAACCTGCTGCTGCTCCACCGCCGACCCTTGCGCCGCTGCACAAATAATTTCCCTCCGAATCCGACGATCATTTCCTCTGCAGCTTCCACCCCGCGCCACGCCACCAAGGCTCCTCCCGCCGACGCCGACGGGAAGACCACGCGAGGTCGCTGCGAAGCCCGTTCGAGAGCTTGCATGGCTCGACGTGCTCGGTCCTACATAACGTGTGAGCGCATTGCGTGGGCCGAAGGTGGAGGTCGGATGTGGGCCTCCTGGACTGCAAGCAGCTCCCGTGATGCGCACTACGGGTGCTGGACAGGATCGTGCTGCCCTAATTGGATAAGCTTGCGGGAGGACCAGTGAGTGACTGACTCCGGCTGTTCTAATGACGTGGCTCGGCGATATCAAGGGTTCCATGATCAATTTCGAAGGCGGTCGAGGAAGAAGCGCGACGAGAATATGGAAGCGAGTACGTTCATTCGAGAACGATCTCCTTAGCTATGACGAAGACGTGTCCTGAAAACGACTATCTCGAATGACAACCAGCTCTGGATGATCAACAACAGCCACGCATATACTAAGAGCTGTTTATGATTCTGAGAGTATCACAGGACATGAACATAAAGCACCTGATTTCTCATTTTTCATGAAGCATGATCGGCTGCCAGCACGCAATCAGGAATTCGTGGATTGCCTATTTGCGCGCGTGCCTGCCAGGCATCGATCTTGTCGAATCAACTGCTCTTGCCTCGCCCGAGGCCTGTGAATGGACAGTTGGTTCAGCAGTTCCCGCCTTCAGGGAGATTTTCGAGGGCTTTCGAGAATATCAAACATGAAATCTCTCTACAGTACACGGAGACAGATGGTATTGCCCTAGCTTTGAGATGAAGTGCAGCAACAAGCACATTATATGTGAACCATTCCAGGCCCATTCTGGAGGTCAGATGCAATATCAGTAATGCTCTGCCGCATCACTTGGGACGCTTGCATTCTTCAGCCTGACTGCATTTCCTAGAGATGGATGGAACTCTGGCAAGGTAGGAGACTGTTGCAATGTTACATAGTAGTACATCACAGGAGTCTGTCCTTAATGGTACAGCCAACGCACTGGTCTCTTTCGTGCATTTCCCAGGTCGTGGTGGTGATTCAAACCAACCCAGCGGACTCATTAGAGCTACTCATTAGCAATACCCATTGACTATCTATGTTTCACCACAAAAGGTGTAAAGTGCCCGTGTGTGTGCAGGAAGTGGTGGCAGGCCCGTGGAGCAAGAAGGTCTTGGAGTGGCTAGAGGGAGGGTTATGGGCGACATCCACTGCATGCACAGGTAGTTATGTGGCAGCAGACCCTGAATTCTAAACCCTGGAGCAGAGATCTGAACCACTCAAAGGTGCCACTTGGTGAGGTCCAGCAGTCTGGTTCATCAAATGAACGTGTCGCTACGATTGTTGTTGAAGCACAGAACCCACTCCAGGAAACAGTCTTCATGAGTCAACTCAGTGATTGCCATGGATATAGCAGAGCATCTAGTTACACAGCGGAAACAGCAGCTGCCACCCCGAGAGACTGGCAGGAAGAAACCCCCAGCCAGACCGTATACATCCTCAGCAGGACATCTGAGCGCATTTCACCGCATTGCACCGCACAGCATCACAGGTCGATGATCTTGGCGCCATTGCCCAACTTCGACAGAGGGCTGGCGATTCTCTTCTGTCTTCTCGGCCACTGCTGCTCCTCCAACCACTTCCAACCACTCCACGCCACATCAAGCCGCCCCTTCTCCCGTACCTCCGCCAGCCGCTGCCTCGAGGACGCCACCAGCACGTCCCACCTGCCGCGCGACCTTTCCCGCGCCAGCGCCTCGTTCGCTTTGGCCCACGTCACGGCCCACCGCCCCTTGGCGCGCTCCTTCTCAATGCGCTCTTTGGCTTTTGCCCACGCCACCTTCACGCGCCCGCGCAATCTCTCCTTCGCCAGCTGCCGGTTCGTCCGCGCGCTCGCCAGCATCACGCGCCCCTTGGCCTGCTCCTCCGCCATCCGCGCCCGCTCACGCGCGCTCGCCACCTGCAACCGCTCCCGAGCCTTCTCCTGCGCCAGGCGCGCGTCCACCTCCGCCTGCGCAACACCGTTGCGCGCCTTGACCGTGCCTTCCGCCTGCGCAAGTCTCTTTCGCGCGTTGGCCCACGCCACCTGCCACTGCCCCTGCGCCCTCACTTGAGTAAGCCGCTCGTTCGCCCTCGCGCGCGCCACGCCGTACATCCCGCGCACCCTCGCCGCGGTGATCCGCTGCTCCCCCTTCGCCTTCACAAACGCCCACCGCCCTTCCGCTCTCTCCGCCGCCACCTTTTCCTTCTCGTGCGCCCGCGCCACTTTTACCTGCCCGCGCGCGCGCTCCTTCGCCAGCCACTCGCGCGTCCGCTCCCACATGACCTGCCAGCGCCCGCGCGCGCGGTCTTCCGCCAGCTGCTTCTGCGTCTCCGCCTGCACCACCTGCCGCTGCCCGCGCGCGTCTACCTCCACCAACCGCTGCGTTGCCTTCGAGAATGCCGCGCGCCACTTGTCGGTCAACGCGGGGGGCGCGTACTTGGGGGAAACGACCAGCGCTGCCAAGTACAGGGGGGATGCGACGTGCGATGCAGGGACGAAGGAGAGGCGGTGGAGAGGTGACTGGAAGCAGTGAGATAAGCCACTTGGGCAATTTTGTGGCAGACAAGCACGTGTGACATTATCGGGCATTGCGACTAGTGTGGGCATGACTGACCTTTCTTCTCTTGCTCGGACGCGCCACGAGTGACCATGCGGCCTGCGTGAAGCAAGAACGAGTTAGCGTCGATTAGTTCGTGCACTCTTTCACAAAGATGGCATGATTGCATCATTGGCTCAGCTCAAGCTTGCATCGATTCCGTTTTCCCCGACTACTATGAACGAAAAGTTGTCGAGAGATGGAATGATCGCAAGTACTTCGACGTAATGGAACCCGCTTGAAGGAGATATTTGAGATTTGGCGAGCCGGGGACGCCGTTAAACGAAGCGGCATCGACATGCCTGTCTTCGGCAAGCGCACTGCATGCGCCGCCATCGCCGCAGACTGATGATACCAGAAATGGCGAGATTTAAGAGAGAAACGAAGCTTTTGATCTACACCTGGTTACTCTTTCTGTCAGCGGTGAAAGCGAAAATGAGAATCATGGGCTTTCTGCATCTGCAAAAATGGTTAGCTAACTATGGAGCTCCAGCAAAACTAGAAATGAGCGAAATGGATGACAATGAAATCTGAAACAGGTCACGCACTCACGGGTGGGTTGTGAAGATCAAATGCTGAGAGAATTACTGTAGAACCTGGATCGGTGATTCATCCTTACTCGCGTGACCTCGAATTACTCGAGTAGCCACCAAATTTGGTGATAATTACTCGAGTGGCCACGCCAGGGGATTCTCTCTGGTTTTGTTTTACCCGGCGCATTACCCTACAAGGGTTTGTATTCCCGATACCTCTGTATTGATTAATACGCGATCTTCAATATCCGAAATTTATGATCGTGACCCCATATGACCGCGCCTGATTGGACGCGCATTGCAAAACAAAGCACCGCGCATATAATCGACCAATCATGCGCGGTCATTAAATGTCCCGCGCATTGACGCCCTGGCATTGCAGTTTATGATCGCGGAAATATATGATCGGACATAAATATATGATGTGCCCGACCATTAATGACCGCGCATGATTGGTCGACTAAATGCACGTCCAATCAGGCGCGGTCATATAGAGTCACGAACATAAATTTCTAATATAAATCATCACGCGAAAACATCCATTATAAATCATCGCGTAAATTGAAAATCGCGCAATCATCAATACATAGGTTTCGGGGATATGAGCTTTTGTAGGGTAATGCGCCGGGAAAAAAAAAGGCCATCGGAAATCCCCTGGCGTGGCCACTCGAGTAATTATCACCAAATTCGGTGGCCACTCGAGTAATTCAAGGCCACGCGAGTAAGGATGAATCACCGATCCAGGTTCTACAGTAAATCTCTCTCAAATGCTGGACAAGGAGGGAGACGCGGAAGAGCGCAACATCACGTGTGGTTGGGGGAATCGCGACGCGCCACGCCACCCAGTCATGCTGAGCTGAAGGAGTCTTCTGAATTGTGATTCGTCTCCGGTGTGGTTTCTGCTTCGCTGTTCAAGACGATGTGTGAGCAAGAGCTGATGTGGCGCGGCGTGAATTGCTAGGAGGTCGATATTTACGCTGTGCTTGCACTCCCCTGACACTTAGAACCACATCAACACTCACCCATTCCCATCTGCGTTGTCAGCACTACTAAAAATCTATACCATCCAAGTCACAAAGAATTAGCCACGGCTGAATATATATATTAGCAAGAAATAAATACAATATTGGCGACAAGTAGTCTAACATTTCAACTTCAAAACACTGCAATGAACCGATTGACAAATTAACCACGAAACCAAGGAGTTGAACGCTCTAGATAAGTTACATAACCCAGCCACCATGCCCTGTACCTGGGCCCTGTGTCAAATGTTATATATTCTATATATTGTTAGATAGGCTACAGTGAGTTGCCCTCTAAAGGGTACAACACTTTAGGTCGACATTTGTATCTCCTTGTCTCTCCTTACTCAATCATCACTCTCGACACTTGTCTCCTAGCCTATTTTAAGATGGTATTAGAGTAGGTTTTTACTCCCTCCCACGCTTCCGCTCC